CCTACTTGCAAAGAATACACTTATATACATTAAAAAAAAAAAACACACACACACACACACACACACACACACACACACACAAAACACATGGCACTTAATGATAATGCAATAGTTTTATCATCATTTTAAAATTAACTAATGAATATATTAAAAATTACTGATTTAATAAAGTAAACATCAGTGGATGAATACAGACTCTTTAAGATTCTCAATCATTAAAAAAATTTTTTTGATTTACTTTATGTGTACAAATGTTATGCTTGCATGTATGTAGGTATACCCATGTTGTGCAATGTCCACAGAGGTCAGAAGAGGGCATCCAATCACCTGAAACTGTGGTTATAGATGGTTGTTAGCCATGTGGGTGCTGGGATTTGAACCTGGGTCTTCTGCAAAAGCAACCAGTCCTCTTAACCACTGAGCCATCTCTCTAGCCCTGATTCTCAATAATTTTTGAGTAAAACAAAAACAAAAACAAAAAAATACAACAACAACAACCAGGCAACCACTGGATTAGACCAGAATTCGTAAGTAGATTAATTAGGGCACAATAATTATTTGGATGCAAGGATTGAAAGAAAGGGTTCCTTCAAAAATTATTCTTATGTCTGATCTTAGAGAACTTGATGGGAGGGAAGAAGAAATGGAACATGTTTGGGAAAAGAAGTAGAAGAAGGAAAAGTTTCTAGGAAAGGCTTGATTGGAAAAAGACGTAATTTTGACTAACATGAATTTCTATGACATTAGGCACTTAATCAACTTTTTTGAAATCTGAGCAGCAGAAAATCTTTAAGTAAAGCCAGTAGATATAACTGTATTAATAATAGAGTTATGAACTATTTATTACTTGACAGGCATCTTGATAAACACTTCACAAATATCTCATCAAAACTGAGCAAAGTGAACCTCATCTTGAGTCATAATGAAATCCTCTTGCTGGGTTTAACATTCAAACCCAGTTTCATGTTACTTGTCTTTGCTCTAAGCATTAAGTTACATTGTTCACCTGGACCTGCTGCTTCTGTGCATTCAACATATTGGGGTCAATGGACAGGGGCCCCAGAACTCCCATCATCAGTTCCTTCTCCATCAGCCAGGGTCGGAGCTGGGATTCTGCAGCCTGGAAGCAGGCCAGATGGCCTGCAGATTCCTCTAGCTGCTTTTGACGAGCTACAGTAACCTCGGTGGCCCTTTCCCACCGGGAATCTGTTGAGAGGAAATGAGAGAATGCAGTCTCATCAGCAATTGGCCTGGTCCCTAAGTTATGTTCTAATATACTACAGGAAATGACCTAAGAGCCATTATTTAACGTTTTTAAAAATTAAAAATAACCTTTAAAAACTTTTTCATGCTGGGCATGGTGGCGCACGCCTGTAGTCCCAGCACTTGGGAGGCAGAGGTAGGCGGATCTCTGTGAGTTCAAGGCCAGCCTGGTCTACATAGTGAGTTCCAGGATAGTTGGGGCTACAGGGAGACCCTGCTTCAAAAAGACCAAAAAAAAAAAACCAAAAAAATTTTCATTAAACACAATTTTATATCTTCAATTAGGCTGGTAGTTAAAAAAGCTACATGTGATAAAACTGTACAGAATACATGTAAAATTTATTTCATATATTATTATTTTCTTGTTTTGTTTTGTTTTTTTGAGACAGGGTCTCCCTGTAGCCCCAGCTGTCCTGGAACTCACTATGTAGACCAGGCTGGCCTTGAACTCACAGAGATCCGCCTGCCTCTGCCTCCCGAGTGCTGGGATTAAAGGCGTGCGCCACCATGCCTGGCTTCATATATTATTTTTAAAAAATATTTTATTATTTTAATTTTATGTGTATGCATGTATTGCCTGAATATAATACATGTAAGTGCACCCGTGTCGTGCCATGCCCTCAGAGGTCAGAAGAGGCTGTCGGATCCCCTGGGACTGGAGTTATGGACAGTTGTTAGCTGCCACGTGGGTGCTGAGATTCGAACTGGGTCTTCTGCAAGAACAACCAGTGTTCTTAACCACTGAGCCATCTCTCCAGCCTGAGCTTTAAAATTTTTAGTCTTTGTCTGAAGTTATGATGCAAAAAAATTTTTGAGTCAAATATTTACTCTAGCCGGGTGTGGTGGTGCATGCCTTTAATTCCAGCAGTTGAGAGGCAGAGGCAGGCAGATGATCTCTGTGAGTTTGAGGCCAGCCTGGTCTAGCTGAAGTTACAAGGAGATGCTGTCTCAAAAAGACCAAAAAAAAAAAAAAACAAAAAAAACCTCTCAAATATTTACTCTACATTACTTGTAGTTAAATATTATGAACTTATAACTTAATCTCTTTATTAGATTATTTCCCATTTTCATCTTTATACTAAATACTCTCAAGTTTTTTTTTTTTTATTAGAGTCAGTATGAACTGTCCTAGAAAGCCAGATTTCTGTTGAGTTAAATTTCTAAAATTTTTCCCTATTCAGGCCATTCTCTGGTCCTACATAGATGGGCCTCCCGCTTGTTTGCTAAGTTTAACTGAAAAGTAATTCCAACTTTATAAGCTGTGCTGAGATTTTCTATTTGCTCTGGAGACAAGAAACTTAATGAACGAAAGATACCCTGTGACAACTTACTGAGTTCCTCTTTCATTTTCTTCCAGTTTTCTGCTTCTTCCGAGTTGGGATATGTCCCTAGTAATCCAGCCAGGGCTTCCTTCACTTTTTGGATTTGGGGGGAATTCTGCTCCAATTCAGCCAGGAAAGCCTAACAGAAAGTATATCATACGTGCCTTGAGATTTTAGGGAGGAAATAAAGCTGTGAGTGTGGTGGAAATGACTGGAAGACTGTGTCGGAATTATCAACTGTTCTGACCCCGTGTATGGCTTGTCCCATGATCTTAGCATATTTAAGCACTTTGCTTCAATGTGAACTTTAAAACTAGATAGTAGGATTTGTATCCAAGTACAATGTATCAATGGAACCTAATTAAGTAGGAATGGTCACTTCTTACTAACTAGAAGTACCAAGATATGATGACAGCAATGTTTCAGTAATTGAAAAAGATGACAGGTAATGTTCAATTGGAATATTAAAAATTTGAAAAATTTCTCACAGAAATTTCTATGTTCTCAAATTTTCTGACTTTTTCCTTGGTCCACATTTCAATCTTAAGAATAAATTCATATTCACAACTTTTTAGATCCCTCTAAGAGTTGCAAAGATGCTTTAATGAGAAAGGCTTGGCTGTCCTGTAGTACCACATGGAAAAGGAGACCTTATTCTCAAGGGGGAAGGGGGCTATCCTCTTTCTGCAAATATATGCAGTTTTGATTCTGAATCTGATTTATAATAATTTATCATTTCATAGGTAACAAAAATTCTCTAGGAGACTTGAGGCATGTTAAAATTTTAAGTGCCAAAAATACTGCCCATAACAATCTGGGAAGTTGATCACACATCTCAGGGTCAGGTCCCTAGGCTGGGGCAGGAATACTAGTACAAGAGTTCCTTTCTCTTGCTGTTGGGATGCAGTTTATTAGGCAAACACCATACCTTATTAGATTCAGCTTGGGCTTTCACTGTTTCTGTCTTGGTTGGAGATAAAGAGGTATCCATGGCTTGAAGAACTTCTTCTTTTGATTCTAGCCACTGCAGTACTGAGTTGGCCTCTTTCTGAACCTTCTCCATTTTGCTGAGGACAGTCTGAAGGCTTTCCTGGCGATCTCGAAGCACTTCCCCCAGTTTGTCATACTTCGAGTTTATATCAGATATGTCACACTGGATCTCTGTCAGATCTATTATCACAGAAACAGCAATCAGATTGGAAATACCTCTCCTTTTGGTTTGTCACTCCTAAATGACTTGTCAGGATTAAGCATCTCTCCTCCTTCTAGTCAAATAGTGATTATTTTCCTCAAAATCACATCAAAGTTCTCGTTTAACTACACAGAGTTCTCATTAATGTGCTTTCTGGCTCTGGCATTATATACTCAGATATATGCCTTAAAGTGCTAAATAAACACAGGAAGAACAAAATCAAGGCAGCAAAAGTAAGAAGGCAACATTAGCATTCTGTTGGGATTAATGGGTTTGGAATATTCTTCTGCTCCCTCTTCTCCAAACTACTGAGACCATTCCAGCTAGGAGACAGGAGTAGACTGGCTTTTTCTTTGTTTTAAGAGAGGGTCTCCTATAGCCATGGCCAACCAAAGCCTGAATGCCTGATCCTCTTGCCTCTACCTCCCAAGTGCTGGGATTACAGGCCAGTTCCATTACATCTGGCTTTAAAATAGCCTTTTTATAATTCAAGTTTCACATGTATTTGCTTCAAGGTCTTTCCTAATTGGCCTTATCTGGCAGCTTAGTCTGTTTCATCAGTACCTTTAGTTCTGAGGATGCCAGTCTATTTAGCCTATAGCAAACAAACATGGAGACAGAACAGTTGCCCCTCTCCAGATTTTCACCTCAGGCCCTTCCTGGCAGCAGTTACTCCACACATATTGAAAAACATAGAGGCAAACATGAATACTGTTCTACACACCCAACAAAGAGGCACTGTTGACATGGCATTCTCACCTTTGCAGGTGTGGTATCCGTTTACACTGCCTATAGAGCTTCCTACAGAGGGCAGTATGGAACCTGAGCAGAAGGACAGGGAGACAAACAAGGCAAGACCAACGTGTTAGGAATACATGTAGGCACAGCAGTTCTTTGGCTCTCATTTTAAGCTTGAGTATCAGGAAGTTAACACAGCACAAGACAACATACTCATGGAAAGAGACAGGTCATTTTAGCTGCCAGGCAACCAAGTGTGACTTTCAGCTCCTCCGCAGTAATGAATTTTTTTTTTTTTTTTTTTGTCTTTTTGAGACAGGGTCTCCCTGTAGCCCCAGCTGGCCTGGAACTTACTATGTAGACCAGTCTGGCCTTGAAATCACAGAGATCTGCCTGCCTCTGCCTCCCAAGTACTGGGATTAAAGGAGTGTACCATCACACCCCCTGAAGTAATGATTCTTAATCCTATTTTAGAGGGAATAAAAATCCTTGTTAAATCTCCAACTTGGATTCTTTAGAACCATTCCTAATCTTGTGACTTGGGTATATTTAAAATAAATAAGTCTTTTAAATGGTATCTGACACATTTTGGAATAAAGATTTATAATAAAACCAAAAAAAGTTGCTTTTAATATCAGTGTCTTTCGTTGTGATAAAAATAAAAAATAGGTACAATTAGGAACATAAAAAGTAGCGTTACTATAGAGCCCTTATCACATTGTTTCTATAGGAAGATTCCTTATTTTCCCTTTCTTTTTTTCTTTGGTCTTTTTGAGGCAGGGTCTCCCTGTAGACCGAGCTGGCCTAGAACCCACTATGTAGACCAGGCTGGCCTTGAACTCACAGAGTGCTCCTGCCTGCCTCTGCCTCCAGAGTGCTAGGATTAAAGGCTTGTGCCACCATGCCTGGCCTTATTTTCCCTTTCATGACTACTTTTGGCTCCACTTCCTCAACCAGAAAACAAATTTGAGGCACTGATAAAAGTGGCTCATTGACATTCTCGAGATTCTACTTTGGACCTTTGCTTCTGTTAACTGCCACAATTTCACCTATATTCACCTCAAGTTGCTTCCTTTTATTTTGGGGGTGTTTCTAAGTTAAGTAAAAATTGGGCTATGAAATTGTTAGGATTACAGAAATCAGAACTATTCATGACATAATGTTATATTAAAAGAATAGAATCAGACTGGGATTTTAGCTCAGTGGCAAAACACTTGCTTAGCATGGCAGGCCCTGGGTTTGATCCCTAGCACTGAAAAAAAAGAAAAACATAAAAAAGGGCAAGAGAAAGAATAAAGCTCTTGTGTGCACTGCTTGAACTGTACAAAATGTCATATTAAGGTTAATTTAAAGTTGTTGGAGTGGTAATTGTGATCTTTAAATATTAACATTACATTTTCAATGGACTAGTAATGTGAAGAAATCCCTAGCTGAGACAATCACTAACTCAGCGTGTAAGCTGCAATATGGAGCAACCCCAGAGAGAGCAAGCAGCTCCAAACATCAGTGACAGGTCTGTGTAGGTGTATTTAAGCTTATTTTTGAGTGCCATTAATTGTAACAATTATAGCTTTCCACTAGTATTCAATTATACCTGTATAGGAACACTCCAGCATACTACTGTACAAAGGAAACAGCTACAACACATGAAGAATACATTATATAACATGACAGAACAGGTATTTGTATTAAAAAAAGACTGAACAGATCTTCCTCAGGGCGAAATTGTGTAACCATAGCATTCTAAACATTTCAGGGTCATGCTCTGAAGGGGCTAGAGGGATGGCTCAGCAGTTAAGAGCACTGACTGCTCTTGCAGAGGACCCGGGTTTGATTCCCATCACCCACATGGCGGCTTCGAACTGTCCTTAACTCCAGTTCCAAGGGAATCTGAAGCCGTCTTCTGACCTCTGTGGCATTGCACAAAACAGGTGCACTCACACGCATGCAGGCAATACACTTATTAAAAAAAAATAATAATAATAAAGGACGGGCAGCATGCCTTTAATCCCAGCACTGGGGAGGCAGAGGCAGGCGGATCTCTGTGAGTTCAAGGCCAGCCTGGTCTACATAGTGGGTTCCAGGACAGCTGAGGCTACAGGGAGACCCTGTCTCAAAAAGACCAAAAATAAATAAATAAATAAATAAATATAATATTAAAAAAAATAAAGAAAAAGAAATAGCTCTTGTCTTTAATATCAGTTTTAGGTGTCTTCTGTGCTTAAGGAAAAAATTATTTTATTGTATTTTTTAGTGGCTTATCTTGGAAATAATGAATTCTTAAAAACATCACTTTTAAGTTACTATGAAATGAAATAATATTCTAACATTATAAAGTAAACTGTTAAAAGCATTTGCCATCATCTGTAACTACATGCCCATGTGAACCACAGTTTCAGGATATGATATGAAATAAAATTTGTAAGTAGATCATATTGTGAAGCTGTCATCAATAATCCCTCCTTTAAAAATTTTTCATATTCATTAAGATAGACCCAAGATTCTCACTTACACATTTCATAAAAGATAAATACTGAACTTATAAGGGAAAATCTATGTCAACAGTATTTTTTATTTATGTAGTGAGGGTCAATATGAGATTTATTTGTGTATAAATGTGTGTGGGGGGTGTGCCATGGCTCAGGTGTGGAGGAAAGAGGACAACTTGCAGGAGTCAGTTCTCTCCTTTTACCACATGGGTTTTCAGGTAGGCAAGTTTGGCAGCAAGAGTCCTTACCCACTGAGCCATCTGGCTGGCCCAAGATTATTTTTTAAATTCTACAGCTGAGTACATGCCTAGCATACATGAGGCCCTGGGCTCATTCCCAAGCATGCCACCCCCCTCCCCGCAACCCAAAACAAACAAACAAAACAAAACCAATCAAACAAAAATCCCAACTAAGGTGCTTTAAAAAGTATGAAAAATTATTGCTTTAGACCAAGAGTCATCAACTCATAGCCCAATGGACAAATATGGAACTTTGTTTAATTTTATATATAGTTTTATTGGAACACAGAAATACCCAATAATTTATACATTGTACATGGCTGCTTTTGCACCATAGTGGTAGAAGCATATAATAATGGCAGAAACTACATGGCCTGCAAGCTTTTTTACTATCTGGCTATTTATAGAAAAAGACCATGGACTCCTAATTTACTCACATGCTAATAATTCATTAACGTAGAAGTTTATGTATTACAGTACAGCTTCTTTTTGTTGTTACTGAGAAAAGCTCATGTAGTCTAGCCTGATCTCAAACTCACTAGGTAGGTAGGTGAGGATAACCTTGAATTACTGATTCTCTTGTCTCTACCTTCTAATTGCTGGTACACGCATGTACCACTATGCGGTCTCAGCAACTTTCCTGTAAGCAGCCCACATCTACACTTGATGTTTTACTTTCCATGAATCTGGGAGAAGCCCATATCCATGCTCTTGGGTGTATCTTATGTCTTCTGAATTCCTTTTTCTTATAACCCTTGTGATTACACCCACATTAAAAATATATATTTATTAAACCCCATGTGCTGACAGCTTCAGTTGTCAACTTGACACACCTGGGTAGAGGGACTCTCAATTGAGGAACTGCTTCCATTGGATTGGCCTATGGCCATGTCTGTGGGGCATTTTCTTGATTACTGGGTGATATGGGAGGGACCAGCCCATTGTGGGCAGTGCCACTCCTGGGGAGGTGGTCCAGTGTTATATAAGAAAGCAGGCTGAGCACAGGCCAGGGAAGCAAGCCAGAAAGCAGTGTTCCTCGACAGCCCGTGCTTCATTTCCTGCCTCCAGGTTCCAGTTCTGAATTCCTACCCTGACTTACCTCAGTGATGAACTGTGACCTGGGAGATGTAAGATAAAATAAATCCTTTCCTATCTAAGTTGGTTTTTGTCAATGTTTTTGTCACTGCGGTAGAAAGTAACTAACAACAATTCTGCATCTATTAAAAAAATATATATATAGGGCCAGGCGTGGTGGAACACGCCTTTAATCCCAGCACTTGCAAGGCAGAGGCAGGCAGATCTTTGTGAGTTCAAGGCCAGCCTGGTCTACATAGTGAGTTCCAGGACAGCTGGAGTTACAGGGAGACCCTGTCTCAAAAAGACAAAACATATATATATATGTATGTATATGTATATGTATATGTATATGTATATAAAAGCAACAACAACAATCACAACAAAACTGTCGGTCCATGTTGGGTTGCAAAAATTTGAAATCAGTAAAAGGTTTCTAAATGCACCAACCAAAAATTAATTCAAAATCAAACAAGTAATGAATCTGAAGTGTTTGCGGCAGTGCTTGCTTGTACATAGAAGAGCTTTACCAAAGTGTTAGTTCTAAACACATAACAGGCCCATTTTGCACTGCATATGCCATCGTGGCAAGCAATGCCAATAAATGTGCTTTGAAAACCGTGACTCAGCATTGAGGCTACTGTATGTTACAGATTGGAGTACTTTTACTGTATATATAAAGTTTACTGTTTCTATAGAAACATAATGGTTTATGGGCTGGAGAGATGGCTCAGTGATTAAGAGCACGGGCTGCTCTTGCAGAGGACCCAGGTTGGATCACCAGCACATGGTGATCACATGGCACCTAAGAACCATCTGTAATTTCAGTTCCAGGGGATCTGACATCTTCTTTTGACCTCCACAGGCATTGCACGACACGGGCACACTTACATACAGGCAATACACTCATACATATAAAATAAAAATAAAATATTTTTTAAAAAGAAACATAATAGTTTAATTATAGAAAACAAAAATTTTTTGTTTGTTTGTTTTTGAAACAGGGTCTCACTATGTAGCCCTAACTGGCCTGGAACTTACTATGTAGACCAAGCTGGTCTCCTAAGTGCTGGGATTATAGATATGTACAATTTAAATATTCCTCAGCATGTATCAAATTTGGCACATATTTGGATTGTATTGTGCTAAGATGCTGGATCTAAATTTTTCAATACATTTATTTATTGAAAAGATTTTACCCTTAACTGCTGAGCCATCTCTCTAGCCTTCTCCTTAATTTGTTTTTATTTTTATTTATTTATTTTCTTGTCTTTTTGAGTCAGGGTCTCCCTGCAGCCCCAGCTGGCCTGGAACTCACTATTTAGACCAGGCTGGCCTCAAACTCACAGAGATCCTCCTGCCTCTGCCTCCCAAGTGCTGGGATTAAAGGCATGTACACCATGCCCAGATAAAAAGATTTATTTTTAATTATGTGTATATGTGTGTGTCTGTATATGGGAATATACATGTGTGAGTCCAGGTACCTGTGGATTCCAGAAGAAGGCATTGGATCTCCTGGAGCTGGAGTTACAGGCAGTTGTGAGCCACCTAATGTGGGTGTGGGGAACCAAACTCAGGTTCTCTGGAAGAGCAATACATGCTCTTAACAACTGAGCCATCTCTCCATCACCGTATTTATGTATTTATGTATGTATGTATGTATGTATGTATGTATCTATCTATCTATCTATCTATCTATCTATCACCTATCATCTATCTATTTATTTTTGTCTTTTTGAGACAGGGTGTCCTTGTAGCCCCAGCTGTCCTGGAACTCACTATGTAGACCAGGCTGGCCTCGAACTCACAAAGATCCGCCTGCCTCTGCCTCCCAAGTGCTGGGATTAAAGGAGTGCACCACCATGCCTGGCCCACATTTATTTATTTATTGTGTGAGTGCGAGCATATACATGCTATAGCACATGTATGGAGGTCAGAAGACAACTTGTATAAGTCGGTTCTCTCTGGTGGAAAGTACCTTTACCTATTGAGCCAACTTGCTGGCCCAGACTGCTGAATTTGGGCTTTGGTTTTTTTTTTCGGTCTTTTTGAGACAGGGTCTCCCTGTAGCCCCAGCTGACCTGGAACTTGCTATGTAGACCAGGCTGGCCTCAAACTCACAGAGATCTGCCTGCCTCTGCCTCCCCAGTGCTGGCATTAAAGGTGTGCACCACCACGCCTGGCTGTTTGTTTTTTTTTTAAGACAGGGTCCCACAGGTCTCACTCTCTATCCCTGGCTGGCCTTGAACTTGCTATGTAGACCAGGTTAGCCTTGATCTCACAGGATTTTAATAAAAAAGACATCTCTGAAGCAAAGGATAGTGTGTATTCACTACACTTTGAAGAATCTGTACTCACCTGTCTTGGCTTGGGAATCAGGTGCTGTGATCTCCATGATGAGATTTTCTAGAGAAGTGCCCTTGCAATTGATTTCTTCCACTAGAATTCTTTTACTTGCCCAGTCATCTAGGAGACTCTGTTAAAAGAACAAAATTGCTAACTGTAACATCTGTGGGCCTCTTCCTCATCAAGTGGGACAGCTGTTCTAGATATAGTCCCTAACTTTTGGGCATGCCTTAAGAAACTATCCTCATATATTCAGCCATTCTGAAATCCTGGTGTAGTAAGTCAAGGAATGGGAGAGTGATAGTCTGGAATTTTCAGAACCTTCTCCTTCATTTGTTCATGCATTAAATATTTATTAGAACGTACTATAGATTAGGCACCATGCCAAACACTGGAGATACAACACAGAACAAATAGGATAACATGGTTCTTTTATTTATTTATTTATTTATTATTATTATTATTTTTTAGTTTTTATGAGAGTCTCATGTATTCCAGGCTGCCCTTGTATTCCTGGACCATCCTACAAGGTAGACAACCACTCCTGGTTGTTGTTTACTTTTTGTTTAAGGAAGGGTCTCACTATGTAGTCCAGACTGACCTATTGATGCTCCAGCATTAGACTACTGAGTACTAATATTAGAGGAATGAGTTACCACACATGATTTTATGACACAGTTCCTAAAACTAAGAGTTTGGGTTATCAGTTGCATTATATAATAACTGTTATGGAAGCACATCTAATTGCCTACAGGGAGGGAAGCTCTGAGTTAAGACAACAGTTTGCCAGGTGAATAAAATCATCATATGTGAAAAGGAGAGAGGAAATAACTAGAGAACAAATGAGGAACTAGATATTGAAGTGTACAGAAATGTAGACTGATAGGCTACTCTTTACATTTATCAGGGGAAGCTTATGTTGGATTTGAGACAGGGCTCAATCACAGAAAGCCACTAGGAAATAACAGCATCAGCTCTAAGACAAAAGTATCAGGTCATGCTAAGTCTCAAAGATGAGATAGCCTGCCACAGAAATAAGCATTACTCATTTCAAAGCAGGCATATCTCTTAGCCTACCTTGTTCTACAATAATATGACAATTTGCTTAGCTTGACTTTGATTCTAAGCTATAAAGTAGATGCAGAGAAAGACACAGAACCATCAGTATCTAACAAGCTCATATGATCTAACCTCAAATCAACCACAATCTCTGCAAGTTAAATCTTTCATTAATCTTTTTTTTTTCTTGGTCTTTTTAAGACAGGGTCTCCCTGAACTTATTATGTAGACTAGGCTGGCCTCGATTTCCCAGAGATCCACCTGCCTCTCCTCCCCAGTGCTGGGATTAAAGGTATGTCCACATATGGCTCATTAATCATTCTTTTTTTTAAAAAAAAATGATTATTTTTATTTCTACGTGCATTTTTGTTTTCATGTGTACTGCCTGCATGTGTATGATGAGTGCGCCTGTGTTGTGCAATGCCCACAGAGTCAGTAGGCTGTGTCTGTGTCTGACACTCCTGGAACTGTAGTTATGGACAGCTGTTAGCCACCATGTGGGTGCTGGGTATTGAATCTGAGTCCTCTGCAAGAGCAGCTGGTGCTCTCTAACCGCAGAGCCATCTCTCCAGCCCTCATCAGTCATTCATTTCTTTAAAAATTTCATTTATTATTTTCATTTTATGTGTATGCATGTATTGCCTGCATGTAGGTAAGTGTACCCATGTCATGCAATGCCCATGGGGGACAGAAGAGGCTGCTGGATCCCCTGGGACTGGAGTTATGGACAATTGTTAGCTGCCATGTGGGTGCTGGGATTCGAACCCAGGTCTTCTACAAGAACAACCAGTGTTCTTAACTGCTGAGCCATCTCTCCAGCCCCATTAATCATTCTTGATTATTAAGGGTCATAGCCCTAAAATAATGTGTTGACATGTAGGATATCTAAAAAATCCAGGGAAATCTGGTGACATCTGTTGGACACCATGTGAACAATGACTGCTAAGCTGTTTGGATCTGAATACTCAGTATGTGGAATTATTAGGTTGTATTAGGTTACTGTGGGGAAGGGAAACTTGAGAAGTCCTGAAAATCTTCTTGAAACACTAAAGACATAATGAACTCAGAATTGAGCAACTTTCTCTTTGTTATTCCAACAGCAAATGCTCTTGACATTCATTCTACGAAAGTATGGATGTAAGAATTCTTTCCTTACACCAGATTTAGATGAGGCAATTTCAATAGAAAGAAACATGTTGGAGTATGAGCAGAGGCTGGATGACTATCAATCAAAGATAGTACAAAAAGGGACTGGAGAGATGGCTCAACAGTTAAGTGCTTGCAGCTCTGTGATTGCAGAGGCCCAGGTTCAATTCCCCACAACCACATGGTAGCTAACAATTTTAAGTCCAGTTCCAGGGGATCTGATGCCCATGTCTGGCCTCTGTGGCCAATGCATGACAAGGGTGCACTTCATCTAGGCAAAACACTCATACACACAAAATAATTAATATATTAAAAAAATACAACAAGGGATTCTGTAGAGGTTGAAGGATTGGTCTCAGCCTTGAAGGTACCTTCCAACCATTTGTTTCTAACTTTTCCTTTATTAGCCAGAGTAGTATCCAGTTCTTTTGCTCTAGTTTCCTAGACCCCATGTCTGCTCAATTGCAAGCATGTAGCTGTCTCAATAATGAATACTAATAATTCTTAAGCTCACAATCATAGTGTAAGCATCTCAAGAACTGGGAATTACTAATTGTTTCTATGCTTCTTTTTTTTTTTTGTCTTTTTGAGATAGGGTCTCCTTGTAGCCCCAGGTTGGCCTTGAACTCATAGAGATTCGCCTGCTTCTGCCTCCCTAGTGCTGGAATTAAAAGCGTGCACCACCAAGCCCGGCCCTTTATGATGTATTTTTAAGTACTTATAATAGCATGAGCAGTATTTAACAAATTAGTGCTGGTTTTCTGAGAATATTTCATGTAGCCCAGGATGGCCTCAAATATGTAGCTGAGGCTAGCCTAAACTGTTGATCTTACTGCTTCTACTTCAAAAGTTTTGGGATTAGAGGCATGTACCACCAGGTCTGGCCTCTTTTTTTTTGGTCTTTTTTGAGACAGAGTCTCCCTGTAGCCCCAGCTGTCCTGGAACTCACTATGTAGACCAGGCTGGCCTTGAACTCATAGAGATCCGCCTGCCTCTGCTTCCCAAGTGCTGGGATTAAAGGCATGCATCACCATGCCTGGCTTTTTTTTTTTTTTTAAATCTTTTTGAGACAGGATCTCCCTGTAGCCCCAGCTGGCCTGGAACTCATTATGTAGACCAGGCTGGCCTTGAACTCAGAAATCCGCCTGCCTCTGCAGGAACTAAAGACATTTGCCACCACACCTGGCCTCGCTTTGGTTTTAAAATAGGAAATTTTACTGTGCTAGGTTCTGTGTATGGATGTATGGAATCACATGAAGAGAGGAATTTCTATTGTGATGCATACAAATTAGATTTTTCATGCTACTTTCCTACCACAGCCAGAGTTCCATTTGTATAAACTTCCAAACTACTTTCTAGCCAGATTCCTGGGGGACCCTTTTGTTTACCTACCTTTAAGTGTTCAATGTGCCTTTCCGACTCTTTAGCACTCATGAAAGCCTCTGCAGGTAGAATATGCCCTTCAGTTTCTTTCAGCCATTTTTGGAAGGTCTTAATCAGCTTCCGGAATTCATCCAACTTTTCCTGGCAAGATGAAGCATCTTTCTCTCTGTCAACAACAAAGACATTTTGTTACTTGCCAGACTAAGCTTTATAAAATGGACTGAAACTAAGCTCATTCTGGGACTCTAGGCATCAATTTCCTAACACAGCCCTTCTTCTCAAAGCAAGTTTGGCTGTATAACCACATACAATGTAGAAGAGCATCAAACTCAAGCATCTATTGCCCTTGTTTGGACATTTCTGGGGAAAGAAGTCTTTAATCTTACTCTAGGCTAAAGTGAAAGTGAGAAAACTAAAGGGAGCCTGCTATTTAGATCCTATGATACAGCGGAAAGAATGCTGGCTTTGGATTTCCAATCCAGCTCTGTTACATTTCAGGTATTTGACTCTTTCAAGACCCAATTCAAGTGCTGAATCTAAGGCCCACAGAAGTTAGATGATTGGCACTAGGCCACTCATGCCCATACATAAAATGAATCAAGAAGTGAGGTTTGGAGATGTCACATCTATTGGAGACCAAGCCAGAGGTCCTGGTTTCTCAGGTGGCTACAAGACCTTCCGCATCAAAGAGGAAAAACAAAGCCTTCTTAGCCTTTGTCCTCAACCTCTCCATTAAATAACCCACTGCTATTTATTTAGGTTTGGGCTGTTCTTAATTTTTAATATTTGTTTCTTCTTTGTTTTAAAAAAAATTTTTTTTTTGGTCTTTTTGAGACAGGGTCTCCCTGTAGCCCCAGCTGTCCTGGAACTCACTATGTAGACCAGGTTGGCCTTGAACTCAGAGATCTGCCTGCCTCTGCCTCCTGAGTGCTGGGATTAAAGGTGTGTGCCACCACGCACAGCTAAAATATTTTATGTGTGTGTTTTGCCTACATGTATGTAAGTGTACCATGTGCATGCAATGCCTATGGAGGCCAGAAGGTGTCAGATCCCCCATAACTGAAGTTACAGATGGTGGGTTAGTGCCATGTGTGTGCTGGAACTGAAGCCAGGTCTTCAGTGTTCTAAGTGCTCTTAACTTCTAAGTCAACTCTCCAGTCTCCCCTCCCCCCTTTTTTTTTGAGACAGAGTCTCCCTGTAGCCCCAGCTATGTAGACCAGGCTGGCTTCAGTCTTACAGAGATCTGCCTGCCTCTGCCTCCTGAGTGCTAGGATTAAAGGCATGTACCATCATGCCCAACCTATGCTGGCTTCAAACTCCTGATCTTCCTGTTTCCATATCCTGAGAGCTAGGATTATAAGTGTGTTCCATTACATCTGGCTCTAAGTGTTGGTTTGTGAAACCATTTTCTTCTAGTTATCAAGAATATATTTACATCTTAAACTAAGATAAGAGGTCTTGGGGCTAGAGAGATGGCTCAGTGGTTAAGAGCACCGGCTGTTTCAGTCATTGAGGGTGACTGCAAGAGTTGATGTAGAGGATGCCTGCCAGCCAGAGGAGGAAGTCCTAGATAGATGCAGAAGAATGCTCATCAGGTGGGAGCTAACACAGGGTGAGGACAATGGGAGATACAGTCAAAAAGTAGGATCTTGGGTTGGAGATCTCAGGCTGGAGAACAGCACTGGGTATTCTTGCAGAAGATACAAATTCAAATCCCAGCACCCACAAGGCAGCTAACAACCATTCATAACTCCAGTTCCAGGGGATCTGAGACCTTCTTCTGTCCTTTGAGGGCATTGCACGACACAGGTGCATGAACACACATCCAGACATAACACTCATACACATAAAAAAATAAAAATAAGTAAATCTCTCTGTAACTCCAGTTCCAGGGGATCTGATGGTCTCTTCTGTACTCCGAGGGCATTGCACGACACGGGTGCACTTACCTACATGCAGGCACTACATGCATACACATAAAATAAAGAAAATAAGTAAAAAAAAAAGTAAATAAAAAAATTTTTTTTAAAGATAAGAGATCTTATTTATGATCATAAACCTATGTAAAGCTTGTAATGGGGACTCATGACTTCAATAGTAAACTAAAATTAGTATTTGACATACGTTCTTCTGTTTGTGATAAAAGAAGAACCTACACATTTCTCTAAAATAACAACTTAATATTGTTTAAAAGAGCATTGGGACTATGAATACAATTCTTAATCATTCCTCAGAAGCCTCCTGTAATTTTCCTCCTTATTTTAAATTCTGTCATAATCCTACTTGTTATGTCAAATTTGTTCTGTTGCTTCAGGTGACCTGGGTATTTGGTTGTAGAGATCAAGAACTCACCCTGGGGCTGAGAAGAATCATTTGTACTAGAAATCGGTAAGCATCAAGTGGATTGGGGAGCTTGCCTAAAGGAGGCACTTTCTGACTTCCTATGTATGGCTCAGTAGCAGAGTTATGGATGCCATTTGTTTTAGTAAAGGAGGAAGAGAAGATCATTTCATCCAATAGTGAGAGAGGAACAGTTTCATAACAATGGCCAACCCAGGTGAACACTACCTTTCTTGAACTGTCTTCTGCAGCTCTGTGAAATCCTTTTTGAGATTCTGTATCTTGTCCTGGTGCTGGGACAGGTCCAGTGCAAAGCCACAAGAGCCCAGTGCAGTAAGTAGCTGCTCAAGAGTGTCTAAGTTCTCCTGTTGGTCTTCCATTTCCAAAGTGAGCACCTGTTGAACACATTAAAGACAATATATTAAATGATATGATCCTTTTTATTATTTTATATTTGTGTGTGTATATATATGCTGTGTTATATGTGTGTGCATGTTCGTGTGAGTGAAGGTGTGCACATGCCAGTGTGCATGTGGAGGTCATGGGACCTCTACCGCAGGTCCTTGCTTTTCACCTTGTTTGAGACACGGTCTTTCTGTTGTTGTTCCCTGCTGAGGATGTCAGGCTAGCCCGAGAGCTTCCAGGGATTCTCTTTTCTTTGCCTCCCATCACGTTGTAGAAGTACTGGGATTACAAAAGCACACTACCGTGTCCAGCTTTACATGCAAAAATGCACCAAAACCCTCCAATTTTATTTAATGTGTTGTGGCCAAAATACTAGTGTAGTTCCAAAACTCTTATACATGTATTGTAGGATAAAGGAAATACATGGGACAGCTGGAAACTAGGGCTCTCCATACAGGAAAGCAAGATACAAATGTGGAATGGAGGAAGAATCCTATAGTATTGAGTTTTATTGGATAATTGATATGCTTCCATGAAACATGAATATTTTCCTAATGATATCTGGTGACAGGACCTAGAAGCAATGAAATACCTGTATATCATTTAGTGTCCAGATTTTGGTATCTAATTGTCATGTCCTATCAAAAGTAAATCTTCATGGGGAAAATAGATGATTTCAGGTATGGGATATGAAAATCAGAAGTTACTCACAGGTTAATAGGGACATGTCAAAAAGACATAGGAGACAGCTTAAAAGAGGTCCTACTGACCAACCTTGGGGAAACTTCTGTATATCATAAAAAATAATGGATATAATCCCAGTGTGGTAGCGCACGCCTTTAATCCCAGTACTTGGGAGGCAGAGGCAAGTGGATCTTTGTGAGTTCAAGACCAGTCTGGTCTATATAGCGAGTTCCAGGATAGCTGGGGCTACAGAGAGACCCTGTCTCAAAAAGACCAAAAAAAAAAAAAATGGATATAGCTCATAATCAAACTGTCTCTCCCTGATACTCTTATAATAAAAGTATCAGTAAATCTAGCAAAGTGTATACTATTATGTATTGAGGCATTCCTTCTACTTCACTACAAGGTTTGAAATTATTCAAAACCGAAAAATTTAGAAAATAAGACAAAAGATCCCACTTGGAAAATGGAAAAAAGAAAACTGGATAATTGGATAGGGCTCGTTAGATGGCTCAGCAGGTAAAGGTGCTTGCTGCCAAGCATGTGTTCAAATATATACACAAACACAAAATAAATGTTAAAAAAAAAAAAAGCTGAATAACTCAAGACAATGATGTAGGAATGGATGCTGAGGTTCTACATGTGGAATGGGGGTTGATGTAGCCATTCTAGAGCTCAGATTGACCACTACTTACAAGTCACACATATAAGTAATGCTATGACTCAGTAATTACACTCTGAGGTAGTTAATGCTTTTTACCTAGTATTTCTAGCTATGTCCCTTCTAGATACATTGTAGGATTACATTTCCCAACATCTTCTAAATTTTGACATGGATATCTGCTTGCTTTTAAAAAACTTTTTTGGGGGCTGCTTTAAAAAAATGTGTATGCCTGCATGTATGTAAGGGAATCCATGCAATGCAATGCCTGTGGAGGCCAGAAAAGGGTGCTAGGTCCCTAGGAACTAGAGGTACAGACAGTTAACTGCCCTGTGGGTGCTAGGAACTGAACCTGGGTCCTCTAGAAGAGTAGCCACAGCTCTTGACCACTGAGCCATCTCTCTAGCACCAAAAGGCGCTTTGACTAATGAAAGGCAAATGGCTATGCTGTACACTCCTCCTTTCATAGCAGATCATGAAGGCACATGTCTGGATGAGGTCTCTATCAACCTGCATATGTCAAAGATGAGCTGAATGCACCTGCTGATCTGGGATTAACCTCTACGTAGTATGAGTGAAAAAAAAATCTAGACTGTGTTTTTCAAAAATAGATAATTTCTAAGATAATGCAGGTAAAGCTTCCAGTATATTGACTAACAAAGTTTGTGCTCAGTAAATGCTGTTTTTCTCTTTGCCCTTCCTTTTATTCTGACAAAATGACAGGTACCCATCCTCACCTGGATCTGCTGGGAGAAATGTGCAATATCTTGATCGGGCTGATTCCCAGAGGCCAACATTCGACTTTTGTTTTCCACAAACTGCTGCAGCTTGTTGGAGAGCTGCTCAAACATCTCTGCCTGGGGCAGGAGCTTCTTTAGGTTGCTCTCCCTTTCTTGCTGCTGGAGCTGGAGCTGCTCGAAGCGCTGGCTCACCTCTGCCAGTTTGCCCTGCAGTACTGATGCTGTGGTGCTGTCAGCCGTCTCCATGAATCGAGTGACCATCTCATGGGTGGCTTCCAAGCTGCTCTTTTGCCGAGCAATGTCCTGCTTTAGTTTCTGTTATCAAGAACAAGTCTGATTTTGGCTTACTTCCAAGATATCTGGGTCACAAATTAATAACTTTGTAGTAACTCCATTTATAAGATTAGAGGACTATAACTGAGCCTGTGGAATGCTACATAGTTCATCCCTTTAATTCTCTACCCATTCCACGAAATTATTTTCCTTTCCACACTTTTGCTTTGGCTCAACAGTAGTTTGGAAATTGGGGAGAAATATCTTTTTTCCATCTTTTTTGTGGTACTTGGAAGTGAACGCAGGATCTTATGCACATTGATTATGTGTTCTATCACTGAGCTAAACTCCCAGTTCCTATGGTAGAAATATTTTTACATGAACTAGTTATCACCTCTAAATCTTATTAGAAGATTCGTGGACATGAATTTTTCCCGTTACTTTTTCTTGCTTTGGTCTTTTTGAGATAGGGTCTCCCTACAGCCTCAGCTGGCCTGGAACTTACTATGTAGACCAGGCTGGTCTTAAATGCACAGAGATCCACCTACTTCTGCCTCCCAAGTGCTGGGATTTCACCTGTGACTTTTTTTAAAGTTACCACAGAAATGGCAAAAAACATCACTTATTAAAACACTCAGGATAGAGTCTTACCATGTGGTTGGCCAGGGCTTCTTGAATGACTCCTGATGAGAGTGATGCTGCCTGCTTCTCTTCCAGATTTTGTTCAACTTCCCTTATGGACTGCAAAAGGCTCTCCAGGCCTTCCTGGACACTCTGAGACTGAGCAATTGCCTTCTGTAGCAGAGCAGAGCGCTCAGCCAAACTACAGGAGAGGCTCTGAAAGCAGCTGAGTATGGAATCTGGAAAATCAAGGGTATGAGAGGAAACATGGGACACCACTTTCATAATTTGTTCTTAAAAATAGAAGCAGTTGTGGTACTTGGTATTAGTCTCTGACTGCTGCAAAATGAGCTTCTTTGATGAGTGGTGACTGGGTGGTATATTTGTCTGTAAATATAAGGACACATATTTTGCACATAATAAGAAATCACATTAGTAATGTGAGAGTTTTGGGGCTTTCTCTAAGATCTATGAACACTCTGGCCATGTGTATTAGGTTATACTACAGTATCACACTTGAGTTTCCTTCCTTTGAGTGGGCTTTTAGTCAAATTAGGTAGCTGTTGATTGCCCCCAAGACAAAAGTGCCACTACTACACCAATGACATATGCTGTGCTGGCAATGGATGTGGTATTTGGTTTGAAACAGAGTCCTACAAGCTCCTGGGAACCTGCTCATATGATTCTATGGCATAGGTGTCAGCATACACAAGACCCATGCAAACTCAGGCAGAGAGTAACCCAGCATAGAACTGGAAAAACGAACAGCAGACCCCAATCTTATCTAAAGGCATGTTGGCAACTGATTGCTGCTAGATGAGGAACATCTGATCTTCCTAAAACAAAGGGCTCTAGATAGGCTGACTAGACTCAGGCAATGGACTTGCCCTGGAGAACGGCTGGGGGCTATGGCAGCTAACAACTGTCCGTAACTCCAGTCCTAGGGGATCCGACAGCCTCTTCCGACCTCCGCAGGCATTGCACGACACGACACGGGAGCACTTACCTTCATGTAGGCAATGCACTCTTTAAAAAAAAAAAAAAAAAAAAAAGGAAGCAAGAGCCGGGTGTGGTGGTACACACCTTTAATCCTAGCAGGTGGGGCAGGTGGATCTCTGGGAGATTGAGGCCAGTGTGGTCTACATAGTGAATCCTAGGACAGCTGGAGTTATAGGGACACCCTGTCTCAAAAAAAAAATATGTATGTGTGTGTATGTATGTTTGTACGTATGTATATAGCAAGGTGTTGTAGTATATTGCTGTAATCCCAGCACTCTGGAAGCTGAAGCAGAAGGATTGAAGAGTTTGAGGCCAGCCTGAGCTTCATACTGAGTTCAAGGCTAGCCTGAGATACATACATAGCAAGAATCTGACCTCAAAAACCCTGAAAATAGAACCAGCAAACAAAGAACAAAAGATATTAAAACAAATAGAAGGAATATGCTTGAAGTCCATTACTACAGGAACCAAATTCAACAAACATTAGTTGTTTAAGATTGTGAGAGCCAGAGATTATGCAGGATGCTGAGGATTAAAGAATGTTAAGATAAAGTCTGTGGTTTCATTAAAACAACATAGGCAGAGGAAAACAACACAACTAACTATAAAAAAGTCCTAAGTGCCATATTGGCACAAGTCGTAGAGAAATTCAGAAAGAATTTTTTTTTCTTTTGAGTGATGGGGTAGTGGTTTAGGATTTTATAAAAGAAATAATCTTTCAGGTCTCTCTCCTTCCTTCCCTCCCCTTCCCCTTGACAAGTAAAAACTATAGATATTTGTGGTACACATATGATATTTTGAGATGCACATACATTATGGAATGACTAAATCAAGTTAGTTAACACATGTGCTACCTCACAAGCATACTTTTTGTAGTGAGGACACTTAAAAAAAATCTATCTTCTTAGCAATTTTCAAGTATATAATGCATTAACTAAAGCCATCATGATATATCTTTGAGTAAATCTTGAAGGATGAACAAAATTTCATAATTCATGGAGAGCACAACAAAATAAATTTTAGCAGCTAAGAAACAGGAAAAAACTTCAGGGCCAGTATAACTCAGAAATGATTTGTATATTTGTCAAATAAAAGAAGTGGGATTCGACTAAATGGCAGATGCTAAAAGGGTTGAAGTCAGAAGGTGAAATTATTTGATAGTGCAGTAATAGTTTACTGGAGAGTGAGCTCTTTGATGAGACCTTGCAAGAAGTGTATGTTGGCTACCCTTAGCTTAGTACTCCAGATACTTGTATGACACAGTGATATATACTGCAAAACAAAGATTCACAGTACAACTTGAGAGAGTTGGGTTACTGTTGCTGCTTTATACCTGCAGTGTCTTGAACAAGCTTAGGGTCCAGGGCTGGTTCTCCTTCAATTTCTAAGAGGTCATGAGCTGCTTTCTGGAGCTTTTCTACAGGTACTTGGTGCTCAGCCAACTCCTCCTGTAAATGCTGCTTATCCATAGAAAAACAAAGAAACAAACAAAAAAAAAACATCTCAGTAAATAATCAAAGGTGATCCTAGGAACCCAGAACTACTAACTATAGAGAAAAATTCTGTTTATCCACAGCCATGTATATTAAAATAGTTTACAAACTAGGGGGGCTAGAGAGATGTCTCAGCAGTTAAGAGCACTGGCTGTTCTTGCAGAAGACCCACCTTCAGTTCCCAGCACCCACATGGTGGCTAACAATTCCAGTTCCAGGGGATCTGACGCCCTCTTCTGGCCTCCGTGGGCATTGCATGACATGATGCAATTACACACATGCAGGCCATACACTCATACACATAAAATAAAAATAATAAAGAAAATATTTTTAAAATTATTTTAATTTTATGTATATGTGTATGGCCTGCATGTATGGAAGTGCACCTGTGCCACACAATCCCCACAGAAGTCAGAAGAGGGTGTTGGATTCCCTGGAACTGGAGTTATGGACAGTTGTGGGTGCTGGGATTTGAACCAGGGTCTTCTGCAAGAACATTCAGTATTCTTAACCTCTGAGCCATCTCTCCAGCCCTAAAGAAAATCTTTTAAAGAATTTACAAATTGGATCTTGTCTAAGGCATCTCAGCTACTGCCTTTAATCTTTGCAAATATTTACTTTTTTTTTTTTTTTAAGACAGGGTCCCACAGGGTCTCACTCTCTATCCCTAGCTGTCCTGGAACTCACTATGTAGACCAGGCTGGCCTTGAACTCACAAAGATCTGCCTGCTTCTGTCTCCCAAGTGCTGGGATTAAAGGTGGGAGCCACCACACCTGGCTACAATTATTTACTTTTTGTTGGTGCACTCTAAGCCATGCAATATAAGACTTTGACACACAAACATGGTCTACATCTGGGCTTACCTTTGTCATTGCAAGCTGCTGCTGCAGGACTCCAGGGTCAGAGGCAACTGTATCTGAGAGGAGCTTCTTCACATTGGTCTCACAAGTCAACATCCAGGCCTGCAGGCTGTCGGCACTGCTCTGGAATTGCTGATACTGGCTTAGCAGCATGTTTAGGTGAGAGCCCAATTGTGCACACTATGCCAAAGGAGGAAAAAGAAAAGTAGAGCTGTAAGGTCAGGCCAAAGGCAGGTTCCAGAACAGAGCCCAAAGAGCCAAGCCCTGATTGTTTCAGAGAACTTACTGCAAATTTCACATTAAAGTGTGACTATCTGTCATATTATTCCAATATATTATTCATTTTATCCTTAACCATAGTCCCAGGAAAACTTAATGAGTTGTATGATATGCCACCAAAAAAATACACATCAGGGGGCCGGAGAGATGGCTCAGCAGTTAAGAGCACTGACTGCTCTTGCAGAGGACCCGGGTTCAATTCCCAGCACACACATGGCAGCTACGAACAGTCCTTAACTGCAGTTCCAGGGGAATCCGAAGCCCTCTTCTGATTTCTGCGGCATTGCACGACACGGGTGTACTCACATACATGCAGGCAATACACTCATACACATAAAATAAAAATAATTAAAAAAAATGTTTTTTTCAAAAAAAAAAAAAAGAAATATACATCACGCTGTAAGCAAATTTTAGAATTGAAAGGCAGAAAAAGTATTCCTTTTGAGAGATTTGCAATATTGACAGAAAAGTTAATAGATTAGATTCCAAATGTTAAGAGGATGAGGGAATTTTGGATTTGTAGGAAAATAAGGATTTACCCTAGAGTGAGCTGTCCAACGACTATCGTTGGCTTAAGTCTTGCTGCACTGTATCTCTTAGAAGTCTAAGATGCTGGTCAAGATACAGGAAGCTGAGTACCTTCATCTTCACTAATGTGTGAGACATTCCCAGCACAGATGGGACCAAGTGTTAGACGATGGGCCCACATAGTCTACTTATATTTGTATAGCTCATAAAACCCATCTGCCGGTGGTCCATACTTCTTACCTCATCCATTATGTCCTATGGTTCATAATTTGAGCCTCAGAAACTACCCACAGTTGTTTGAGGGCGGCTGCCATAATTGTTTCCCTGGAGGCTGTTAGGGTGTCCTCTTACCTTTGAGTGGAGAGCAGTATATCTTTCTGTTGCATCCTTGAGCTTTTCCTTCACTAAGTTTCTGGTGGTTGATGGTTCCCCACCTTCCTCAGAGTTGTTTTCTGTGTCCAAGACTTTTTGTCCTGAGATAGTCACAAATCTCAAGTCTCCTTTGTGGGAAATGACATCCTCTGAGAAGCTTCCTTGCTGCCTTAGCAAGGAGTACAGGGCTTCAGAGCTGCTGCCTCCCTTATGCATGTTCTCCAGCTCTTTCTCAGAACGTTCTAGCCAACTTTCAAATTCCTTGTGGTCCTGAAGGAACTTTTGTAGTTCATCCCGGAGTGTCTGTACCTGCTTCAGCTCTGCCTCTGACTGGACCAGGGAATCTGCATATTGCTCCTTAAGCTCTCTGAGCTTTTCTTGCAGTGTCTGTCGTTCCCCAGGCGTGAGATTGTGGCCATGTTGGTCCAGGAAGGCCTGAGCTGCCTGGGTGGCCAAAATGAAATTTTGCTGCTGAGACAGCAATTCTTGGTGACGTGCCTGGTGAATAAACCCCCAAAACAAAGACCATCAATAGGAAAATGTGAACAATTTGATTATATCTCTAAATTTACATAAGATGAGCTATGTGAATGAAAAAAAAGATGTTATAGATCCTGACTAAAGCTATATAACATGTTAAGGCTTAGCCATGACTAAAATCTGACTTCTTTTACTATATCAAAGTCTACAAGAATGTACAAATGGCTAATATGTAACTATTTTCTGTAACAGAAAGGCTGGATAAGTGAAATATGTCACTTAGATGACCATGAAGACTGTTTGTACTAGTAAAGATCAGAAGATTAATTTATTATATTAAGAGTAAAGAGTACTTCTGAATAGTACTGGTAACCTGCACTTTTTTTTGGGGGGGGGGTCTTTTTGAAGCAGGGTCTCCCTGTATCCCCAGCTGTCCTCGAACTCACTATGTAGACCAGGCTAGCCTTGAACTCACAGAGATCCTCCTGCCTCTGCTTCCCAAGTGCTGGGACTACAGGCGTGCGCCACCATGCCTGGCTTAACCTGCACTTTTATTTGTATGTGTTCTGCCAATAGCTTATATTATGGACCATTCTTCTATTTCAATGGATGATTGTGGAGTACTGTTTGTTTTGAAATATGTTCTTTCTGGCTCAGTGGGGAAAAACACTTGTTGCCAAGACTGACAACCTGAGTTCCATCCCTGGACCGACATGGTGGAGGTAGACAAGTTGTCCTCTGACCTCCACATACATACTGTGGCACACATGAGGGCCCCCTGCCTCCCCAGTATATAGACATGATAAATAAAATATAATAAAAAATGTTCTTCCTGAATCTAATCAAAGAAAGTGGGAATTCAGTGTTCCTATGTATACCTCTATGAAAATATCCACAGAAAAATTACCAGCCTTTTTTTCTAGAATATTGCTCAGTTAGTTTCATCCTGTACCACCAACCAGCACCGTGACAGTTTTGGCTTCTCATATCATCTTAGGAAACCCTAGAGTGACAAATTCTGCTGAAACAGATGATAGGGGTAATATTTAAGCTTTGTCGTATGTCCTCAGTCTCATCCTCCATCTTGCCTGCATTTTGCTTGAATAGGGCAGTTACCTTTCTGATGTGGTGATGCATTGGTTAAGGTGACTAATTGTAGCCCACTGGCTGTCAGGAGGCATCCCTGCTCTATGCTGTTATAAGACTACCAGTCCTGTTCAGGGGGCACAGAACAGTGAATCTTCTAAGTACATAAGAGGCAGAAATGCTACTAATATAGAATAAAGCTCAGACAGGTCCTTCAACAGACTCCTGCAAACCAGCTTTTCTTTGTTACACCAGTATCACTACTGAAATACATGATCCACGTATAATGTAAGTGTCCTGAATATATAATCTGCTTTCAGTCATTCAATAAACTGGACTACACATGCCAGTTAATGTCTTAGGAGATGGCTGATCTCACTGGTTCTTTGCTCTTTTTCCAGTATCTGCCATATAGCAGATACTCAGTATTTGCTGAATGAATAAATGAGTAGATATGTTAAGAAATGGTTTCAGCTTTCAAACCTAGTGTCTTGAAGATAATATAGGCAAAAATAGAATATGGAAAACACTATAACGTAGGAAAAATATGCTAACTTTGGGAAGAAGTGAAGGAGTATTTTTTAGAGGACATAACTGCTAAGCTGAGGTCTGAATAAACAAACAAACAAACAAACAAACTGGCCAAGAAGCTTGCTCTTTAACACTTGAGAGGAAAGAAGAGTCTAAGAATATGCAAAGACTCGGGAGAATGAGAATGCAGTAGCTGAGACTCAAGTGTGAAGAAGAATGAATGATGAGGTAAAATAGGACAGATTCCAGGGGGAGGGTGGTACTCAGGATAGTAAACTACATTAAGAGATTGGACTTGAACTTGAAGGCAAAGGAGGGTTAAGCAGGGAATGGAATGGAGGAAAATAGCCAAAAGGCAAGAAGGTCAGTGGAAGCTATAAAAATAATACAAGTGAGAGCTGACAGTGGTCTAAAGAATATACGGGAGAGTGATGGAGAGAAAGGAATATAGGATGATAACTAGTTCAGGCAATTAAGTGGGAATATAGGAAGGAAAACAGGTTTGAAGGGGGGTTGCATATTACAGAGAAAAATAATTCTGTTTTCAGATTTACAGGTTGCAGAGGCGTGTGTGTGTGTGTGTGTGTGTGTGTGTGTGTGTGTGTGCGTATGTGTGTGTGTTCATATGGGTAAAGGTTAAAGGTCAATCTCAGGTGATTCCTCAGGAGTTGTTCACCTTTTTTTTTTTTTTTTTTTTTTTTTGGTCTTTTTGAGACAGGGTCTCCCGGTAGCCCCGGCTGGCCTAGAACTCTTTATGTAGACCAGGCTGGCCTTGAATTCACAGGATCCTCCTGCCTCTGCCTCCCGAGTGCTGGGATTAAAGGCATGTGCCACCATGCCCAGTGTCACCTTATTTTTTGAGTTACTATCATTTGGACCTGGAACTATGTTAAGCTAGCTTCCCAGCCCCAGGGATCCTCTTGCCTCTTTCTTCCCAGTGCTGGGATTACCAGCATGCACCACCATGCCCAAAGTTTTAATATCAGTTCTGGTAATCAAACTTGGGTCCTAGCCAGATGTGGTGGCACATGCCTTTAATCCCAACACACAGGAGGCACAGGCATAGGGATCCCTGAGTTCAAGGCTAGCCTGGTCTACATAGGCCAGTTCTAGGCCTCCCAGGGCTATATAGTGAGAGCCTGTCCCAAAATAAGTGAGCAAACAACCCCCAAAACAAAAACCAACCAACAAAAAAAAATAAACTTGGGTTCTCATGGTTGTGGAGTAAGCACTTTACTGACTGAGCTACCTCTCCACCCCAGTAAAGCATATTCTGAAAGTTGAGAAGAAGGGGATATGCCTGGGAGCACAGCAGTATCTCAAAGGCTAGCCAAAGGAAAAGAAGGATGATTAGAGCAAAGTAGTGTTATAGAAACTAGAGGAGAAAGCATTTCAAGAGGAATGGCCAACAGTGTCCAAGCTGCTGAGCTAGCAATGACAACACAAACTAAGGCTAGAGTAAAAGACGTTTTCTACAACACAGCAAGGGTAAGTTAACAGTCTTACCTTCACCATTTCATACTGTCTGTCCAGTTTCTCTGGGGCTTGGTTCAGACCCACATAACTATCAGTTACATCCAAGGATTTCTCCAGGCTAGCTCCAGAGAACTGCTCTATTCCTGGAAGGTTGGTGTATAGCCGTCTGTCAGACCTCACAGAGGTCACCCAATCCAAGAGAGCATCAATCTTCCTCTTGTTCTCTGCCAGATCCTCTGCTGCTTTACTCTGAAAGTCAGAGGTACTCCAGTGAGAATGCCTTAGATATTCAACTACCAATCCACAGGTTAAATAAACAAAAGGGGTAGCAAAGCTTTGGGCTAATGAAAAAGTAATGTTCTATTCTGAACATAAAGGCCTTTCTATACAAAAAAGACTCAATACCTTCTAAAATCTATGGAAAATAATTATTTAAAATAAACTCTAGATTTTATTAATATCTCATTGCTTCAAGAAAAAAACCCTCAAAAAACAAAACAAAACAAAAGGGGCAAATCTTAGGATTTAAAAAGGTCCTCTCAGGCCAGCAAGGTTTCATGAATCTTCTATTTAGAGGCAATATACTGGTTTGGCAGAGTAAGAAATAACATAGACACAATCAATTATCTGGCTGTTCTTTCCTGAAGGAAAAACAGACTTCTTTCATCTTTATCTCAGCCAAACAGAACACTTAGTTCTTAAATTTGCCTCTCAAATCTATTTACTAGCCCTTTAAGTATTTTCCGGAGATTCGTATTATTCCATAGCCCCCTAGTTTTAGTAGTACGGCTGCTAGAACCATTGATCCTGCAATTGGCGCTTCTACGTTAATTAAATAGGTTATGCTAAGTTATACATTCACATATTTCAACATTCCTCTTCAGACAACTTATTTCTCTTTTCCATGTTCTTTACCTCTTTCATTAGTGTGTCAGAGTTGAAGTTAAACAAAGGATTCAATTCAACCTGTGAGTGCTGAGTAAGACTATTTAAGACCTTACCTTGTTTTTGGTTTCTTTTAGTACCATAATCCGCATTATAACTACAGAAGCTACCTGAGGATAAAGCCTGTGGCTCACGAAGCCTTCACAGACATTTTTCCAATATCCTTAGATCACCAATTTAGATTCCTGTCAGGAACATACCGTCTGCTTTTTCAACTCTGTAGCATGACACCCTAAGTTCTTTCAATCAGCCAAAGTACAGAGTTAGCAAGTTTTAATTTTGTCTTTGGTAAAATATACTTCTTACCAACTCCTTCTGACCTCTCCTTGATATTTCTTGTAATAGAAAAGATGGACTCACAAACCTGCTCCTAAAGTTCTTTTTTGGGATGATACAATTTCTGTAAGATATCCCTCATCTTCTGTGTTAGGTACAAAATTATTACTGTGGAAAACCATCAAGTATAGCAGTCTGGCTACCTTTTCTGTCTCCTGATGTAAGGCTGAGGTTACTGCTTCCTCTAACTCCTTCTGGGCCACCCGTGTCTGTTCTTGGAGAAACTCATATTGCTTCTTAGCCTGATGAAGTTTTTCCTGAAGAGCTATCGACTCCTGGGGACTCAGTTTGCTCTGGTTCTCTTCCAGGAACCCTTCAATGTCTTTGACCGCAGTGGTAAATGAAGCAGAATGATTCTGAATATCATCCTGTAAATCCTTAACACACAAAAACAGAGATGGTCATCTTCATCTTTGTACTTTTAAGTTCTCTAACAATGTATGGCTGGGATGGCATATCTGCACATAGTCTCTGGCTTATGATAATCATTTACTTTTTTGAGACAGGGTCTCCCTGTACCCCTGGCTGGCCTGGAACTCATTATGTAGACCATACTGGCCTCAAACTCAGAGATCTGCCTGAATCTGCCTCCTAAGTGCTGGGATTAAAGTGTGCACCACCACACCTGGCATTTACTTAAGGTTTACACTTAAAGCAATTAAAATTTAAAATATTAAAGTCTTAGCAAATACCCAGTACAGACAAAGGGGAGATTGTCTACAGTATGTTGGATAGCAGAAACTTTCATTTGGCAATGAGTTATCTGCAAAGAATATTCTTTCCATAAAAGAGTTGGTAGGGGCTGGCAAGATGGTTCAGTGACAAAGTACTTGCTGTGCAAGCCTAATGATCTGAATTCAATCTCTAGAACCCACGTTAAGGTGGAAGGAGAAAACCAACTCATACATATACATCATACATCTACAATAATAATAATAAATAAAAATAAATTGAAATGAAAAATAGCTGGAACTGGCAAGTGGAAAAAAAAGATGGCATGATTCTAGCAGAGTTGAGGCCTGCCAATCTTTTCCACAGTAGACCAACCCATCTCCATGGTTTTACTTTGAAAGGTTTTAGTTCTTCATGGTGAATTATGGTTTAAAAGTATTAAATAAAAAATTCTAGAAATAAACAGTTACTAAGTTTCATATTGTACACCATTTTGAATCGAGTGATGAAATCTTACTCCTGCTGGGTATGGTGGTACACGCTTTAAATCCCAGCACTCACCAAGCAGTTCTCTAACCTTTTGAGGCCAGCCTGATCAACACAGAGTTCCAGGTCAGCCACAGCTACATTGTGAGTACCTGTCTCAAAAAAACAAACCAAAACAATCTACCTCATCATGTTCTGCCCAGCCTGAGATGTGAACCATCTAGTATATCCATGCTGTACACGCTACAGCCAGTTACACATAGACGCTATCTTGGTTATCAGGTCATCTGTTGTATTACAGTGCTTGCACTTTTTTTTTTTTTTTTTTTTTTGGTCTTTTTGAGACAGGGTCTCCCTGTAGCCCCAGCTGTCCTGGAACTTACTATATAGACCAGGCTGGCCTTGAACTCACAGAGATCTGCCTGCCTCTGCCTCCAGAGTGCTGGAATTAAAGGCGTGAACCACCATGCCAGGCCTACAGTGTTTGCATTTTAAGAATCCTTATTTCATTTAATAAAGGCCAAGAGTAGTAACAATCTTTATTATAGTACACTGTTATAATTGTTCTAACTTCATTTATGGATACAAATATTTATTGTGCTCAAGTTATACATTAAACTACCAAATGTATGCATAAGAGAAACAGTATATAGAGTTCACTACTACCTGTTTTTAGGCATTGACTGGAGGCCTTAGAAAGTACCTACTCCTTTCTTTAGATTTTGGCAGACAAGGGGGGACTATTATAATCTCCCAGTTATCATTCCTTCTCCTTAATGATGCCTACAAAGCCTAGATGATAAGCAGCTACCAATATTTCTCACCTCTTATAATCTTCCTCTTATTTTTTGTAGTTCAGCCTAGGTAGCTTTCTTCCAGTTCTTGAATATGTTATGTTCAATCCCATTCCTGTCATAAAACTGATGCATAAGCCTCTGTCTGGTATATTTTCTTCCTCCTAGCTCCTATATATCAGTTGCTTCTCAGTTTAAGTGATATTTCTTCAAGGTAATTTTTTCTAATGCCCTCAAGTAGACTGTCTTTCTGGCACATGTTTTCATGGAACTTCACCTTTATACATATAATAGCTAACAATTAGCTGTTCCTTTCTGTGATAAATTGCTTACCTGTCTGTCCCCATCACCAGACTGTAAGCTTCATGAGGGCAAGAATGTCTGTTTACCAATAATGCTGGTACTAAGCATTGACACATAGCCTTAATAAATACATAGAGAAGAAATAACAAAAAGGGATTCATTCACACTGACCTTCAAGTCATTCTGGTTCTTTTGCAAAGCAGAAAGATCTTGTTGAGAGGTTTTGCCTTGGTGGCTCACCAGTGCTCTTTCTGCCTGTTCTACCCAGTTGCAAAGATCTTCCAGTTTCTGATGGCAGGTATTTTGCTGTTTCTGAAGAGTCTAATTAAAATGCAAAAGAGTCAAGAAATAATCAATAACTTTCATTTACAAATAAAGGATAATTCCCTGAAATATAAAACAGAATGATTATACCTCAAAGATGAAAAACTTGGTGGAAAATAGGAATGGAAAAAGGCACAGAAATCATACTCGGGAAGCTCCCCCATCTGGGTAGCCTGTTGATCTGGGTCTGCAGCTGGAATGATAATCAGGGATAGTTTTGGAGAGATGCTCCCAGTTCACATGTGAATTTGGGAGTTCCATTGCAGACTATTATTATCTTTAGAAATGGACAAAAGTGAAAACCACACATGACAATGGTGATGATAGTAATCTGTGATTCTGACAGTTTCTTCCTATAGAACCGGAGAACATACTACACATTTAATCAGATATGGAAAAGTAGAAGAATTATAATAAAAAGTAAAAAAATCAAGGGTCACAAAAATTGATAAGCCAAATGAGCTTCTTAATTATTGAGCTTACTTTATAAATCAAATGTCCCTCAACTGCAGAAAGTCATTAAACAGAATGATTATATGCTAGGCTTGAGGAATGTGATTTGACTAATTTGAGAAGAAAACTGCCCCAAAATAGCAACTGGTTTGGGTATCCATACCAGTATCAATGGAAAAGCCAGGCCCAAGGGGAGAAAGGGAATATGTTTCTGTGCCTGATCCTTTCCTCAGCTCTCATCTCAGTTCCATGACAGAGGAGCACCTGACTGAGCAATAATTGAGCATGATATGTTCTCCTGACCATCCTTCTAAAAACACTTTCCATCTGAACCTATCTTCTGATGGCATTTTAGTCACCTGCACTTACAAACAGGTGCCCACACTGGCCCTCTCTTCCCCTTAAGAAAAACAGAGGGGCACTGGAAGAGAACTCCTAAGAGCTCTTCAGCTGTAAAACAGGATCTTCATGGGTTAGGATGAGTGCAGACTGAATCTGAAAAAAGCAAAGCAAACAAGTTAACACAGACATACACACACATTCAGAGCAAATATAGAGAGAAGCAGAACATTTCTGACAATAGCAAGGTTAATGCACATTGTGGAATTAATTTCATGCTCAGAATATTCACATGCAATTCTAGCACCTCCTATAGCTCACGGAACTCCCTAGACCAGGACTATTCTTTTTTTAGTATTTTATTTATTTTTATTTTATGTATATGAGTGTATTGCCTGCACGTACGTGCACCCATGTCATGCAATGCCTGAAAAGAATAGAAGAGGATGTCAGATCCCTTGGAACTGGAGATACAGAGGGTTGTTAGCTGCCATGTGAGTGCTGGGAATTGGACTGGGATTCTCTGCAAGAGCAGCCAGTGCTCTCAACCACTGAGTCATCTCTCCAGTCCCAGGACTAGTCTTAAGATGGCTCAGACCAATCTGCTTTATTAATTACCTAGAGACCACATTATGGTACCTAAATTACTAGGTGACAGTATTGTACACTTGCAGATTTGGAAAGTGACGTAAAACATTTCATTAGGATTTCATTTCAATTTCAAATTTCAACATAGTTGAAATAATTACGTAGTAGTGGGAAACATGTGGCACTGACTAACCAAATTTAAGAAATTTAACTCAAAATCTCAATTATATTCTGCATAATACAGGAGCCTGAGACAGATTTACTGGTGATAATGACAATTCTATAATTTTGCTGTACACCAACTTTATTCAAACAGCAGAAATAACAAAAACATTACTCAAGATATTCTAAGGTTATGATTTATTAGAAATTAAAATATGGGACTGGAGAGATGACTCAGCAATTAAGAACACTGGTTGTTCTTGCAGAAGACCTGGGTTCTAATCCCAACACCCACATGGCAGCTAACAACTGTCCATAACTCCAGTCCCAGGGGATATGACAGCCTCCTCTGACCTCCACGGGCATTGCATGACATGGGTGAACTTACCTACATGCAGGCAATACACACATACACATAAAATAAAAATAATAATTAAAAAAAAAGAAATTAAATTATGTTGAATTTGAGTTTTACAGAAACAAAGAAACCATCACTCCTGCTTTCACACAGTTTTCCATGACTGGGCACTTCAGCTTTAAGAAAAGTGCTAGAAAATAACTTAAAAATTGCTAAAAAAAAAAAAGATTATTCTGATAAAATATTTTGTCATCTCTATAAAGATTTTCTAGGAATCTTACTGTAAACCATTAAAAAGCCCCAGAATAAAGCTGATTTTTCTGAACCATTCTTCTCAAGTACGCAGAGTACCTAGGTGTTCTTCACAGCTCTGAAGGAGAAAGGAACGTAAAGACAGGGCTAGCTGTAATTTTCATGTGGAAATTGGGACAATGAGACACAACATAGGCTCACTAAAACAAAACACCTGCACATGCAATTCACACACAAACATATATTCTTAACATACACACATAAGTGCCAAAGACAGCAATCTCTTAGACCAGAACCATACTGGCCTGAATGACATGAAAATTTGAAGGTGGAAGACCTAGGTTCCTGGAATCATGATAGTTGGAGGTTGGACAGAAAACCCCCAAACAAAGAACATCCCCCAAGACGAACTGAGCTCAGTTGCTGGTTCAGTCTGACCTTAACCTGGGCTTCCTGCTGGATTTGTTGAAGATGGCCCCTCAAGGCATCCATCTGAGCTGTGGTCTGTTCCACAAGCTCCTGGAAGGACCTCTGTAGTTTATTCAGAAGCCTCAGTATCTGTCGATTTTGCTGAGGGGACAAGTCTTGTGTATGCTCAGAGACAAAGAGCTGAGTATCAAAAGTAAGAGCATCCAGTTGAGACTTCCTTTCAGTCATAGACTGTTTCATATCCTAAGACAAGTACGGAGGGAAGGGAAAAAAAGAATAAAATTTTTATCTCTCTATCCATGAAAAAGCTATTGATTCTAGGGGGCTGGAGAGATGGCTCAGCAGTCAAGAATAATGGCTGTTCTTGCAGAAGACCTGGGTTCGAATCCCAGCACCCACATGGCAGCTAACAAATATCCATAACTCCAGTTCCAGGGGATCTGACAGCCTCTTCTGACCTCTGCAGGCACTGCACGACACGGGTGCACTTACCTACATGCAGGCAATACACTCACACATATAAAATAAAAATAATAAAAAAAAAAAGAAAAAGCTACTGGCTCTAATAAAAGAACTAGGAGAATTAAAGGTTAATTTCCTATAATTTTATAATTGGCACTGATGGATCTAGGGCCAAAGTAGCACTGAAAATCTCTCTCATTTTTTGGTCTTTCCAATTCCAAAAGCAAAGCATAAATTGTCATTGTGCTTCCTTTACTGGACTTTGATTTTCAAATACAGCAACCTTTCAATGATTTATATTTACAGAATAATACTATTGTTAATCTAAAATACATATAACTTAGTTTTTAAATTATTATTATATTATTATTATTTGCAGTACTGGGAAATTAAATCTAGGGCTTCATGCATGCTAGGCAAGCACTCAACCATTAAGCTATAACCCTAGCTCTTCCTGAATTTTTTTTTTTTTTTTTTTGGTCTTTTTGAGACAGGGTCTCCCTGTAGCCCCAGCTGACCTGGAACTCGCTATGTAGACCAGGCTAGCCCTGAACTCACAGAGATCTCTGCCTCTGCCTCCCAAGTGCTGGGATTAAAGGCATGTACCACCACACCCGGCATTCCTGTATTTTTTTATTTTAGGGTCTTATTAAGCTGTTCAGGTTGGCACTGAACTCATTTTGTTAGCCCAAGTGGGCTTTGAACTTGTGATGCTCTTGCCTTAGCCTCCCAAGCTGCTGGAATTACAGGTCCATGCCATTATGAATGGTTTAATTAAATAAAAAAGGCTTTGGAAAACATAACATAAATTTTGGTCTGAGGTATTCAGCTGTACTTTCTTAGGTTTAAATCTCTATTTTTATTTGTGCAGTGGTTTATTGGTAGGCTAATAATGAGAAAATAGGCAACTTATTTATAATTCACTAAGATCTGATTTTGAGAGTGAAAAATGCTGTTTTGTATATTTAAAAAATTGTATCATAGCCAGGCGTGGTGGCTCACACCTTTAATCCCAGCACTTGGGAGGCAGAGGCAGGTGGATCTCTGTGAGTTCAAGGCCAGCCTGGTCTACATAGCGAGTTCCAGGCCAGCTGGAACTACAGGGAGACACTGTCTCAAAAAAGAAAAAAAAAAATTGTATTATTAGTTGTGTGTGTGTGTGTGTATGTGTGTGTGTGTGTGTACAAAAACAATGTGTGAGTGAGTGCAAGTACGCATGTACATTGGTTTGAGTGCAGTTTCAGAGCACAACCTTCAGGAATCAATTCTCTCCTTCCACCATGGATTCTAGGAATTAAACTCTGGGAGCCAGACTTGCATGGCAAGTTGCTTTTACTAGCTGAGCTGTCTCACTGGCCTTGTTTATATATTTAAATTGAGAAGGATTGCAGTCAGACTTTCTTATGTAATAATATAATATGCAGTTTTCCTGCCTATATCTCTATTACTTTTTTCTTTTTTTTCTTTTTTTCTTTTTGGTCTTTTTGAGATGGTCTCTGTGTAGCCCCAGCTGTCCTGGATTCACTGTGGAGACCAGACTCGCCTCAAACTCACAGAGATCCGCTGGGATTTAAGGCATGCACCACCATGACCAGCTTTTCTTTATTTTTATGTGTCTGTGCGTATTGTATACATCTATGCAAGTACATCCGTGTCGTGCAATGCCCTCAGAGGACAGGAGAGCATTGGATTCCCTGGAACTGGAGTTATGGACAGTTAGCTGCCATGTGGGTTCTGGATTTAAACCTGGATCCTCTGGAAGAGCAGTCAGTGCTCTTAACCACTGAGCCATCTCTCCAGCCCTCCTTTATAATATCTTATTGAACAGATATTTTCTGATCCTCTCTCTCCCAATAAAATTTTTGAATAAAGTTATGAAAGAAGAAGAAAGGTTAACTCTTGCAGAATGAGGGCAACATACATAGCTGATTATAGAGAAACCTTTATGTCCACTTCTTGAGAAAAAGGGAGAAGACAGAAGAGGAAAAGGGACAACATTAGTTCCTCCTGAGTCTCTAAAGAGTTTACAAGAGAATGACATCTCTATATAACATAAAACTCATGAACTAGTATTGGTATCTAGTGATTTATGATTTATAATCATAAATATAGCAACAAAAAGAAAAATGGATTGAATATAACAATAACAAAAATAGAGGAAATTTATGTTTCATATACATATATATAATATATATAATAGCTTCAACTTTCTCTCATCGGTTAATAACAAGAATGAATTAGTTTGGAGCTTATCAAGAAGAAAAGCATCTCTCTAGTTCTGGACACAGTGACTTCCTGGCTAAATCTGATCTGCAAACCCTAAAGTTACAATGTATTACCTGGCCTTTTACAGAAAAAGTTTACCAACTCACACTCTAGGTCAACGATCAAAAACGATCTAGAAGGGGCTGGAGAGATGGCTCAGCAGTTAAGAGCACTGGTTGCTCTTGCAGAGGACCAAGGTTTGATTTCCAGCATCTACATGGTGGCTAACAACTGCTCATAACTCCAGTTCTAGAGGATCAAATGCCCTCTTCTGACCTCCACCAGGCACTGTATGACAAGGGTGTACTTACACATATGCACATACACATAACATAAAATGAGTAAGTTAAGAACATAGCCTCACAGGCCTTGAGTCCAAGCAATTCAGTTGAGAGAGACAATTTACTATATAGAGAAAGCAATACTGTTTTTTAAAATTTTATTTATCTATTTATTTTTATGTGTTTAAGTGCTATGCCTGCATGTAGGTAAGTATACCCATGTCATGCAACGCCTGCGGAGGACAGAAGAAGCTGTTGGCTGCCGCGAACCAAGACTCCGACCAGCAGAGCTGAGGAAAGGACAACACGGACGCCAAAGTGAGGTTCAAGCAATTCTCTCTCTCTTATTCTTCGTCATCCCACAATATATACCCTCATCAGATCCATCCCACAATCAGACCGTCACACGGAGCCAATCAGGACATGAGCACGGGGCTAACATGCAGACAGAACAGCAAATCATTGGGCCACACAATAGAATCATGCTCGGTGATGTATCATGTCAGGCAGGCTGCGCGTGATCAAGCTTACAGCGCTTGCGCCCGTTGGAGCAAACAAGTGAGGGTCACGAGGCTTGGCAGCCAGCCAGGGTGCCATCTTGGCTGGCTTGACTGCGCCCGCTTCCCACAGTTGGCTCCCTTGGAACTGGAGTTACAGACAGTTGTTAGCAAGAACAGTCAGTGTTCTTAACCGCTGGGCTCCAGCCCCAAGAAAGCAATATTGTGACAGTGATAAGTAACCCAACTAGCCATGCCAAGAGACTCCTTGTAGCCAAGTGAAAAATGAGAAAACAGAAGACAGCTTCCCCTACAAGAACTTAATTCAGGGGACTGGAGAGATGGCTCAGTGGTTAAGGGCACTGGGTGCTCTTCCAGAGGACCTGGGTTTGAATTCCAGCACATATATGGTGGCTAACAACTGTCAGTAACTCCAACTCCAGGAGGATCTGACACCCTCTTCTGGCCACTGTGGGCTTTGCATGACACAGGTGTACTTACATGCATACAGGTATAATACTCATATACATAAAATGAAAATAAATTAAAAAAATTTTAACACTGGGTGTGGTGGCACATACCTTTAATTCCAGCACTCAGGAGGCAGAGGCACGTGGATTTCTATTAGTTCAAAGCCAGCCTGGTCTACATAGTGAGTTCTAGGCCAGCTGGGCCTACAGGGAGACCCTGTCTCAAAAAGACAAAAAAAAAAAGAGAAATTTAGACTTTCTCAGAATGATTATGTAGAGACTAGTTTGCCCTGCAGGAAAATAATCAAAGAACATAAAATAAAACATGTCTGGGAATGGTGGAGCATTACCTCATACTGTTGGAGAGAATGACTCAAGCTGTCAACACTGGTTTCACTGTCACTTCTCTTGCTATCTAGAGTAAGACTGGTTCTGCCAATCCAGGCTTTCAGATTTTGAAGTTTGCCTTCTAGCTCCATGTGCTGATTTAACACTGTGGTCTAGGAAAAAAAGACCAAGTCAGATTACAAAGCTCTCAGATCTACCCAGATCTCTAGACCTGCCTTTAGGATACTACCTTTTCCACTTCCACGACATTCTGGAGGTGGAATAATCTGGAACTCCAAGAGTCACTCACAGAGCTGAGGGACTTTTGAAGATTCTTGGCATCTTTCTCTAAAGCCTTCAACAACTGAGCAGGGACTTCTTGAGGCTGGCTGATGATAATCTGATCCACACACTCCAATTCCTGACTCACCATGGTAGACAGATCTTTTAGTTCTTTGTCTAACACCTGAGGGGATAGAGCAGAGTTACCTCCAAAATCAAAAGTAGTGCTGGGCTGGGGGTCAGCAGTTGCCAGCATGCTTGAGTCCCTAGGTTCAATGCCCAGTACAGAGTAGCAATTTTGCCTTCTGGCAATCATTTCTGAGCATATCTATTATCTCACCTTACATCTACACAGGACTTTGGGCTTAGAAAATGTTTTTGTATAATTCATTAGTTTCCTTGGCTCTCACAATCACTAATTCATGAGGATACAAGGCACATTACTATTCTGGGTTTATAGAGAGATCCTCAGCACTAAATAATGTGACTTGTTTGGTCTGAGCCCACACTGATGAGGCTAGTGAATAGTCAGGACTTGGATTCAGGTTTCTGACTCAATGCAGTTTTCTTTCCACTACAACTTGCTTCCTCTCTGACACTGTCATTTTGCTTTTTCCTAGACAGTGGGTTTGTAGAATTAGTGCTGCAAAATAAATCAAACTAAAAGAAGACTTGGGGTGGGAGAGATGGCTCAGCAGTTAAGAGCACTGACTGCTCTTGCAGAGGACCTGGGTTTGATTCCCAGCACCCACATGGTGGCTACGAACCGTCCTAATAACAGTTCCAGGGGAATCTGATGCCTTCTGACCTCCAAGGCATTGAATGACACGGGTGCACTTACATACATGTAGGCAATACACTCGTACACATAAAATAAAAAATACTAGCCGGGCGTGGTAGAACATGTCTTTAATCCCTGCACTCGGATCTCTGAGAGTTCGAGGCCAGCCTGGTCTCCATTAGCAAATCCAGGCTAGCTGCAGCTACAGGAAGACCTTGTCTCAAAAAGACAAAAAAAAAAAAAACTTATTTAATTTTTATGTGTATGAATATTTGCCTGCATGTAAGTCTGTGCACCACACGCATGCTGCCTTGGTGTCCCCAGAAGCCAGAAGATGGTGTTGGATCTCTTCTCCTCCCCCTCCCCCTCTCCCCCCACCTCACTCCAAGGTCTCACTTATGTAGCCTGGAACTTGCTATGTAGACCAGGCTGGCCTCGAATTCAGAGAGCCCCTCCCCTGCCTCTTTCTCCTGAGTGCTGAGATTAAAGACATGAGCCCACCACACTCAGCTCCTTTCTATATTTTTACAAACCTGATTCTATCTATAACCAAGTTCTCTCCCCTCTCACTTCGCCAAAAACCCACTGAAAACATTCTTTGGTCAGCCTATGTCCTCTAGCTGGGGTCCTGCCTCTTTCATTGCGTGCTTCACAATCCTTCTGGGAAGAATGATGTACAGCAATCATTTCTTATTAGTCTCACTGCAAACGAGTTTGTATCTCAGCCCTCCACTAACACTGTTCTTATCAAGGTCATCTATGACTTTTAGGTGCTCCAGTCCCTAGATTCAGTGTTACCACAACCATTAATACTGCTGACTGGTTTTCCTGCGTTTTCTTTCCCTTTAGTTTCTGTGAGTGCTCCTTGGTATTCTTTGAAATACTAAAACAGGGCTGGGGAGATGGTTAAGTAGGTAGGAATACTTGCTAAACAAGGAATTAAGTCTTGAGTTCAAATGTCAGCACCCATATAAAAAGTGGGGCATGATTACATGCACATACAACCCTGATGCTGCAGGAGGAGAGGTGACATGAGGATTGCTGAGGCTGGCTACTTGCCAGTCTAGCTCCAGACTGAGTGAGAGACCCTGCCCAAGGGACTATGGTAGACAGTGATAGAATAGGACACTCTATGGCCTTCTTTGGCCTCCATACAAGTGTGCACCAGTATACGGACCCACATACATGTACCCATACTCACACACCGTACTGACATCCACAAAAATAAAAACAACACTAACACAAACAACTTAAATATAGCTGGATTTCTGAAATGGCAAATCAAACTTTTTGGGTTGTTTGTTTAAGACAAGGTCTTATTACACAGCATGGGTAAGCCTGGAACTGGTGTGAGTTACCACATACCACATCCAGCTAAACTTTGTTTTACTGCTATGTTTTGTGTGTGTGTGTGTGTGTGTGTGTATGTGTGTGTATGCATGGTGGAGGCCAGAGGACTACCTGGGATATCATCTTCAGGAATGCTATCTACCTCCTTTAAGAAGGGTCTTTTACTGGCCTAGAACATCAATTAGGTTAGACTGCTATACGGATCCTCCTGTAATTCCAATGTTGGGATTACAGGCATGCCCAGACATGCCTGGTTCTTTATTTGGGTGCTAGGGATTGAATTCAGGCACTCATACTTCAGAGCACTTTAAAGACTGAGTTCTTTCTCCAGCCATTTCTTTCTTTTTTGAATCAGGGTCTGGCTATATAGCCCTGGCTGGCCTGGAATTTGGGAGACCAGGCTGGCTTCCAATTTGTGGTAATCCTCCTGCTTCTGTCTTTCAGTGCTGGGATTACAGGAATATGCTTCCATACCCAACCACAAATGTAAATAAGATACTGGTGTATCTTTCCCACCTTTACGTGGGTTCTGGGAATCAAGCTCAGGTCACCAGGCTTGTGTGGAAAGTGTTTTTACCCACTGAGCAGTCACTTGTCTTTGAATTTACCACAATAAGGCCCAAGATCACACAGGTAACAAATGTCAGTCCAAATGTCTGTTCAAGTCCATCTGTTACAAATCCTATCTGTTCAAGCCTATTCCACCTCATAATTACCTAACAAGGCATCTGAAACTGTTTTAACTGGACTATAATGAAAAGCACGTTATGTTGTCTTGAAATCTTCAAGGAAGCTAGGGGCAGCCATCCTGAATCCAATGGGCTTGGTGGAATCTCTGGAAACTTACCTTGGCCTGACACAGTAAATCCTGCAGTTCCGCCCCGTTAAGCTCCAAAGCCTGAATCTGTTTGGTCCTCATTTCAATGTCCCGTAACAAAGACAGATAGGATACCAGCTTTTCATCATGTTCTAAACAAAGTTGCCGGTTAGACATGTTCTGTGTAATCAAAAAAAAAAAAAAAAAGAGAGAGACAGTTTTTACTATATGTAAAACAGAATGAAATATGCTATTTTTTTGTCTCATAACTGCCAATAGATGAGCATAATTTCAAAACATTTTTAAAAGCCATTCTGCTTTCAATTAACATTATACCGATATTTCAAATTAGCTTCAATGCGAGTTTCAATTTTTAAAACTTTTGGGCTGGTGCAGGTATGGTGATGTACACCTTTAATTCCAGCACTTGGGAAGCAAAGGCAGGTAGATCTCTGTGAGTTCCAGGCCAGCCTGGGCTACATAGTGAGTTCCAGGCCAGCTGGGGCTATAGGGAGACCCTGTCTCAAAAAACCACCCCACCACCCAAAAAAGACAATAATTTATTGCCAGGAGTGGTGGCACATGCCTTTAATCCCAGCACTAGGGAGGCAGAGGCAGGTGGATCTCTCTGTGCATTCGAGGCTAGACTGTACTATGTGTGAGTTCTGGGTCAACTGGAGCTACAAGGAGATCCTATCTCAAAATGACAAAAAAAAAAAAAAAGCCTTTTGGGCTGGGGATATAGTACAGAAGAACAGTAATTATCTAACAAACCCTGGATCCAATCTCAGAACTACAAAAACAAAAAAAAAAACAAATAAAAACTCTTGCAAAATTCAGAAGACATTATAGGCATGAACTAATTTTCCAACAACTATATTATAGATGATGATAAATGAATTTATAATTTACAATTATCTAGTGGCACATATATATGTGCATACAATCACACACTCTTTATTCAGTTAAAAATTCTAGCACTGTGCTAGGGCTCAGGGTATAGCTCAGAGGTAGAGCACTTGCCTAGGATGTACAAAGCCCTGAGTTTAATCTCTAGCACCAAAAAGAAAAAAGATAAAAAAACTGTAGCATGAAACTAGTAGTATCTTAAAAAACAACAACGACAACAAGAAGTCATAAATGATAGAGCATGTCTGTAATCTCAGCACTTAGAAGGAGGACTGCCATAAGTGTAAGGCAATCCTGGCTACATACTGAGTACCAGATCAGCATAGATTTTGTCTAAAATAAAACGAAAACCAAAACCAAAACACACACACAAAAACAAAGCTCAGTGCATTGGGATACTTACTTGAGCTGCTCTGCAGGACTCTGGGTTTACACCTTCACTCCCCTTTCCCCCAGGTACAGCCATGAAGGAAGTCTGCTCTTCGCCAAGGATCTCTTTGAGCTTTTCCTGAGTTTTCTTCTCATCCACCTTCAGTACAGAACATGGCATTAGGGGCACTGATGGTTCTTTACTGGTTTTTGAAACAGTGGGACTAAGCACAGCATCCTGCTGCCTGGCAATCTCTTTCTGTAATACATTTTCAGGCAGTTTCTCTTGAAGAAGGGATAACAAGCCTCTAGGATCTCCCTCAGTCACTGTATCTTCAGAGGACCTTTCTTCTGGGCCTTTACCTGTGGGATCTGCTACTTGTGGAAATTCTGTTTCCTGAGTTGATGCTATTTTAGATTTGAGACTTTCACAAAGCTCATGGCCACCTTTGCTATCCTCATGAATACTGTTTTTAGTTGCAGGCTCCAGACGACTGACTTTTTTTGCATCTATAGAAGAAACTGTGGTTTCTTTCAATTTATGAGCTCTTTTTGAACACAAAGGTACTTCTTGGTATGACTTTTCTTTATAATCTTTGGATAGGAAAATCCCATCTTTGGTTTCTATAGTCTTAGAAGTAACACAGAAGTTTTGATAATCATTGGTTTCCTGTCTGGCTCTTCTTTGGGCAGCCATATCTGTTTTGGAAATTTGGGGTGTATTTGTAATTTGGGCTTCTCCATCTGATTCCTGGTAGTTTAATCTTTCAGGTTTTAGAATCATAGAAGAGAATGGTTTCTGCTGGACTCCACTAGTAATTTCTTGAGATACATTTTCTCCTGGTTTTAAAGTCAAGAAAAGGTTGACGTTTTTCATTTCCCCTTCACTAACTTGTGTAGAGCTGAAGAATTTTAAAGCATCTTGATACTTTACAGAAGTATCTTTGGGTGTCATTTGGGAAGAAGAGTCTTTAAGTTTACAAATATCGGAAGAGCCTATTTCCCTATCAGCTCCTTTCCCCTTGTCACTTCCAATCATTCCCACAGATTGGTTCTTTATATTAGAGTCATACTCATCACTAACAGCAGTTTCCTGGCTCTTTTCTGCAGAAAGAATTGCTGTTTTGCCTGTTTGGACACTTTCTTCTACAACCATCTCCCTCTTCTCTCTCTTACTAACCTGAACATTCATTGATTGCTCACTCAACAATTTGCCTGATGTTTCATAATGTGAATCTTGTACTTTTGAAATAATTTTCCCTTGATTTTCTCTTGCTTTTTCAGCATCTAGGCTTGAAGTAGACTGCTTTACATGAGAAGTCATTTTTCTTTGTAGTACATTTTCCTGCTCTATACATTTCCCCATGTGACTTCTAGATACCTCTATGAGTTTCAAATTGGAAGCTTCTGAGTGGGGATGCATCCCTGAAACTTGGCCTGAAGGTTTACGTTTAAGATCACCAGGACTTGCAATGCTGGCAGAGCCTTTATTATCTGAAGCTTTCCCCTCATCTTGATCCTTGCCTTCTAACTTCTTTAATGAAATTGTCCTGATTTTTTCCTCCATCTCCCCATCAGAAACTCTTACTTTAACCTTTTCTTGGGCATGCCGGCATTCAAACTGTAACAATCTCTCATAGTCTTCTTTATCGTAACTCTTTTCCCCAGTCTCAATTAGTAACTCCTTTCTTAGAAATTCACGCCTCAGTTCACACACTTCAGTCCTATCTTGCTTGTCACTGGGTTCTAAAGTATCTACTTGGATCACAGTTGCCAGTTCAGGGCTGATAAATCTTTTTTCAACAGCTTCCTTTAAAGTTACTCTTTGATTATTATATATATCAATAATTCCTCCATTTAACACCTGGTGAGATGCAATAATTCTGGCCATGTTTTCATCCAACAGTTTCTGTTGCAAAGCTGATGCCAATGTCGATCTTTTTCCCGTGGCTGGATCTATAATTCCACCAGTGTTTGCCTGAGCGTCCAATACCTGCAGTGCAGATGCAAAGTCTACTTTTCCATGCTGAATTGCTTCTGACACTGTCAGTACTTTGTTGCTCAACTCATCTTTAATATCAGAGAATGGAATTATTTCTAGATATCTCCATCCAGATTCAATGTCAATCTTACATTTCTTTACCAATTCTGAATAGGGAATAACTCTGCAGGTCTCAGGATCTACAACCCCATGTACCATTCCTGAAGGTAATACTGCTTTATCACCTAACATTTCTCCTTTGTTAGTTTCTGCCAAGGTCAATCTCTGGCCAGAAATGAGATCCACAAAGTTTCCACTAAAGGCCTGAATTTCTTGGATTTCTCTTTCCAGTTCTGGGGTAACAAGATCTAATTTTATGGCTTCTGAGAGAGAAAGAGCTTCTTTTGTTTCAGGATGAAAAAACTGATGGTGGTTTAAGTTCTCGACTTTTTTGAGCTGCTTGGCTACATCTTCACTAATCAGGTCATGTTTAAAGGCATTATCCACAGAAAGTCTCAACCCAGATGTATGATGAATGATACCTCCATCTACTACCTGCTTAGCCAACAAATGGATGGCTTCTTCTTGCTTCAAAAGACCTTTATCAATGGATTGCAAAATTGTTAAAGGTGCTTTACTATCAGGGTCTGTAAGTCCTGTTGTTTCCATTTGTAAACAAATTAATCTTTCCTTAACTGTTTTTTCAGCACCTCTGCCTTTGGATGCCTTTTCCAGATTTATAAGTTCTGTCTGGTCAGCATTATCCACCAATCCAAGATTTGAGGCCAAAGTTACTGAAAGCTTTTTCCCTCGTTTCAGGTCAACGATTCCACCAGTCACCACCTGCCCCTCTAAAATTCTGGTAGCTGTTTCCTTGTCAAGAAGTCCAACTGCAACTGCGTCCTTTATAGAGTGGAGCGAGTGGGTACGGGGGTCTAAGATACCACTTATAGCTTTGTCTGATGTAAGGACATTATGTAATAATTTCTCATCCATCAGACCTTCATCAATGACTTCTTCAGTTGTCAAAGACTCACAGGTCTGAGAGTCAAAGAAGCCCCGAAACATGTTCAATTTTTCCATAAGTTTCATGGCAGTGTGGCTAGACACAATGCCTTGGGCTACTGCTTCATTTAGTAAGAGTTTCTGACCTGTTTCATTGTGAAAGATACCACCATCCAGTAGCTGTGCAGATAATGTATTCAAGGTAGCTTCTTCAAGCACCTCAAGAGGACGACTGCATGACCAGGAAGTCTCACTGCCATTATCTTCCATGTCAGTCTTTTCTAACATCACTATATGGTCATCTGTGACATCTGGTCTTTCTTGGCTTTGTGTGTGGCAATCCTTAAACAAAAATGTTTCTCTTAACTCTTTTTCTTTGTCCATATCATTTTCTGACTTAAATTCTGATTTGAAACTTAGAGAAGTCTCTACCTGAAATTGCGACTTTTTGCTTTGGGATTTTAGGAGAGGTATTCCAGCCTCACTTGGAATATATTCAGTCTTAATTGCTTCTGCTTGTTCTTTCTGATATGTGAAAGAAATCTTTCTGGGAGCTTGCCATTCTTTTGTTTTCATAGTAGAATAAAAGTCTTCATCAAGCACCAAGGGTCTACCTCCTGAGGGAGGTACCACAAGGAGGGATCCTCTGCTGACACTTTCTCTGTCAGACATTTCTGTTTGTTTTTCCTTTCTAGTACCTAACAAGGGCCTATGTAGCTCTAATTTGACTTTATTTATGACCCTCAAAGTGTCAACATTTCCAATAATCACTTTTTGTTCTCCTATACACAGATCCTTTTCAGGGTCCTCTACAGAAGAACATTCAATTTTGACAATAGTCCTTTTGCCTTTTGCTTCAGCACAATTTTCTTGATTTGGATAGTCTTTGTTCTGAGAAGAATAATGTGATTCACAGGGCTTCCTAGTATACTTATCACTGAAAATTTGGGGGATGGTTCCATTATCTGATTCTTGCAATTCCTCTGAAGTGTCTAGTGTTTGATCCTGAATTCCAGATACTTCTGGAGGACCTGTTTGATATTCATCTTTGGATGTTAGCATCTCCACCAGCTCTTGATCCAACAGAAGTAGCCTCTGTCCATTCTGCACATTAATATAGCTGTGTGTCATCAGCTGAAACAACAGCTTCTCTCCATGGCCTGCTATACTCTCATGTTGGTCCTTGCTGCATGACAGAGGTGATGTACTAGCAGTAATGCCTACTTCACTTTGTTCTAAAGAGTCTAATAATTGCATATGGGGCAGCACATCAGGGATACAAATAGATCTTAAGTTATTAGCAAGATCTTTATCCAAGATACCACTCTCTATTGCTTTATTCCAGGACCAAATCTCTGTGGTCGTTGGTAAAAAAAGAGCTTCAATATGCTGTCGATTATTGAGGATTTTATGTGCTAATTCAGTAGACACAATACCTTGCTCTAGAGCATCTGTAATTGGGAGGATTTCCCCAGATTCGGGCCATAGCAACCCCATGACTGACCAGAGGGATTCTAGAATAACAAGGGCAGTCTTAGCAGCTACTAGATTATTGCTCACTGCATCATTAATGGTCAGCCTATGTCCTGTGACAGTGTCAATGATGCCTCCTGTCTGAAGCTGCCTTATGAGAATAGCACAGGCCATATCTTGGTCAATCAAATTATGTCTTACAGCCTCTTCCACTGTGAGTCTGTGTCCTGTTCTTGGATCTACTATGCCACCAGCAAAAAGCTGAGCTTCCAGCAGCCGGACAGTAACCTGCCTATCTATCAGCCCTTCCTGAACAGCACGGAAAATGCTAACCTTCCGGCCTGATTTCAAGCTCACCATTCCCCCTGCCAACTGCTTGACAGGCAGCAATTTCAACCCTGACTCTTGGGGGACGATACATCTCTGCATCAGTTCTAGCAAGCCAATTTTCTCAGCCGTGTTAGGATCTATCAAATTCTTGGATAATCTTAGGTGAGAGTCTAACATTGAATGAAGGCAAGTAGAAATGAGACCTCGACGAAAAGCGTCTTCCAGATTAATACATTTCTCACTGGGGGAGAGACTGAAACCTCCAGTTGCTAGGTGAGCTTCTAAGACTTTCAGTCCAACTCTCTCACTGATTATTTTCTTTTCAATTGCTTCCACCACAGAAAGAGGGCCTATGGTCTCAGTAAGACTGCTTATTAAGGACAGAGCATCTTGTAGCTTCAGGAGCTGCTGGTATATTGGGGGATTAATGAGGTTTCTTGCAAGGCCCTCTTCCAAAGAGAACTTTTCACTGGTCTCAGGAGAAATGAGGCCAGACATGATAACCTGAGATTCCAGGAGCACAAGGCCTGTGTCTTGGTCAATGAGGCCCTTTTGCATGGCTCTGAAGATGGGAAATATCTCCACTGTGCCTAGGTCAATCACCCCAGCAACTGCTCTGAAACCCTAAAAAGAAATTAAAAAGAAAACTAAATCAGAGTCAAAGGGGACACATACCTGTTGAAAGGAGTCATGTAAAAAACCACAGTATTAAATGGGGGCACACGCCTTCAGTCCCAATGCTTGGGAGGCAGAGGCAGGTGGGCCTCTATGAGATTGAGGCCAGCCTGGTCTACATAGCAAGTTCCAGGCCAACTGGGACTATAGGGAGACCCTGTCTCCAAAAAAAAAAAAAAAAAAAAAAAATCAAAAAAAACAAAATAAACAACAACAACAAAAATCTCCCATAATACATACAATTCTCATCACAAGAAAAATCAAGCCTGGATAAGCCCCAACATACAACATATAGGAAATATTTTGAAGCACGCCTGGCCATTAATGCTAAGAAATAATTCTTCTAAACCGTAGAATGTTTAACAGAGCCAGGAGCTCACAGATGACTTGAAGGATGATGGACAGCATTAGCATATCTGAGTGATAAGCTCTATAAAGTAGCAAGCAGTGAAAAGGAGAGGACAGCTATTTGTATATTTTTTTACATTTAACCATCTTGCCAGCCCTAAATAGCTATTTACATGACTAAATTGCTGGGTGTGGTGGCACAAGCCTTTAATCCCAGCACTCACAAGGCAGAGGCAGGTGGATCTCTGTGAGTTCAAACCCAGCCTGGTCTACATAGTGAGTTCCAGGCCAGCTGGGGCCATCGAGAGACCCTGTCTCAAAAACAAAGAAAGTTTAATTTTAGTTTGTGATAAGAAAATGAAGCACAGGCTAGGTAACTTGTCCAAGGTAACAAAACTAGTGAGTTCCAGAAATAAATCAAGGCTGGCCTCTTAAATCTTGTGTTACTACACTATCTCTTTGGTTAGTTCCAGAGAAGCAGTAACAGTAAAGTCACAACTTATACGGGAGTTTTTTATTTTTTAATATTTTATTTATTATTTTTATGTGTATGTGTATATTGCCTGCATATAAGTAAGTGCACCCATGTCATGCAATGCCCGCAGAGGACAGAAGAGACTGTCGGATCCCCTGGAACTGGAGTTGTGGACCGTTCTTAACTGCCATGTAGATGCTGGGATTTAAACCCTGGTCTTCTGCAAGAACAGCCAGTGTTCTTAACTGCTGAGCCATCTCTCCAGCCCCACAGGAGTTATTTTCTAAGATCCAGGAATAAAGTAAATCAACATTACCCTGTCAAATTCTAGAAACAGCTGCTGAAGAGCTCTCATTTAAAAGTTTTTTTATTTTAAGTTTTTAAATCATTTAAGAGCTTAACCACTTAGACCCCTTCAATACTTGTACTCTCTACTTTTGCATTTCTTCTTCATATGCATTGACTTAATTTTCTTTAATGACTTATCCATCTCCTCTTTGGTCAGTGTTACTTTCTAGTCCTTATTTAACTTGTTGTAACTTATCTACGCAGACTTTTATTGAAATAATTGTCAATTATGTCCCAGTTTCCTAAGGGACATTTCTATTCTCAGTGAGAAAAAAATGATATAAAAGCATAGTTTGCCCCTTAGTGTACAGGAACAGCATCTGCAGTGCAATAAACACTGGATGAATAAATGGATGACTAGCAATGAAACTGTCAACACCATCAAATCATATGCCTGAGGTTTTAAAGACCTGTACTGAGACTTTTGTCAGATGATGATATACAAGAGTGCCGATGGATAACAAAGAGGGAACACTAGATTTGGAACACTTTTCTAATTCACTGTATATGCTCAACTGACAGACTAATCATCATAATGATGTTTTCTGAACTATAGAAAGGGTTCAATTTGTATAAGTAAAACATAACATATTATACAAATACTATGTGTCCAGTTTTAAAATTTTTTATTTCTATCTTATGTGTGAGTGTTTTGCCCTCATTGTATATAAGTGCACCCATGTAATGCCCAAAGAAGCCAGAAGGGGGTGTTGGATCCCCTGGAACTAGTGTTCTGGATGGTTGTTAGCTGCCATGTGGGTGCTGGGAAACAAACCTGGGTCTTCTAGAAGAGCAGCCACTGCTTTTAACTGCTGAGCCATCTTTCTAGCCCCTATGTGTCAATTTTATAGAGAGATTAAAGAAAAAAGTTCACTGGTGTATGACTCTTGTTATATAAAACTTCCTTTTGAAAACCCATAAGAAGCCTATTCAGAAGGAGATATTATGATAAAGGAAAATACTGTGTTGAGACTCTCTAATTCCTTCTGTGAGATCTGTAGTCTCAAAAATGCTGACATTGAAGAAAAGCCTGGCATTTAGCCAGACTTTCACAGTTCTTTCCAACACTCTCATGATGAGAGAGGACAGGCAGGTAGCACTGAGCTGGGAAGTGATCCAGAGAAATTCCACCAGTCCTACCAAACATGGGCATTCTGACCTAAATGAGCATTAAAAGACAGAGAGAAGAAAGAAAACATAAACTACTTACCAGAGTTGCAGGGCACGCCTCGGGCAGATAAGCGATAGAACCTTATGGAGCAGCTCAGCCGTATCACATATACAGTGTAAGCTTGGTGTTAGCATCCAGCATGCGACTGTTTGTTTTTTGCAAATAAGAACCCCAAACAGGTCGTCCTCTTTTCCCTATGTGCATTTGTGCTTAAACTCCAAAGGGTTAGTGAAACTTGTAAGCAAGGATGTCAGTTAATCAGAACAATACTTCACATGAAACACACACACAGTACAGGGAACACATCATGCTCAATGTAGTGGTGCTCAGCAGCTTGTCTTTTTTTCCTTTTTTTTTTTTTTTTTTTTTGCCCCGCCCCTATATAACCTTTCAAAATGAGAACTGGATGTTCTCAGCAAGCATTTGTTAAAACTTTTCACATACTCCCATATATAGTGAAGCAACAAGCTATTAGAAGTGGGCAATCTTACATAGAAAATTCTACACCAGCACATTCTTTTTGGAAATATACTGTCAAATCAGGGTTGGTTCTGTCTGGCTCTCATTCGAAAAATTTATATCTACAAGCCAGAATCAAGGCATATTTTGCCGGAATAATCAATCTGAGTATCATGTAGACCACATCTGATTTATCACAGGAATTTAAATTTTAGTCTTCCCCACATAAACTGGCCATTGCTTCACAACATAGGAATAAGCAGGCAAACACACATGTATATCCCAGAAACACATGTATATAATATGGTTAAGTGCACACACACATAAGTATCCAGAAGAACTTAGGACAACCAGCAACAACTATAACAAGTTTCATACTGTCCAGGAAATGAACGTGGGTGAGAACTGGTAAAGATGCAATGTGATGGGATGACCACGGGTGAGGGGAACCAGCGTCTCAGTCAGCGAAGTTAATCTATCAGTTGAAACAGAACATTTCTCCCTTTTTGCTCTATGGAGGCAAGAGGCATTTTCTTTCCAATATCCACAACTCTTGTCTATCAACTTTTGGGTGATAATGTCACAAAGGAGTAATCTTATTTACCCGTCATCGGACACAATACAGAATTTGTTCTCCTTAACTGTTTTTGAGCAAACCAGGTCCAGCGGATTTGTTCTAAGTGCCCTCTGCTGTTTTTGACTGACCAACACATCATGGAACCCCAGTAAAGAAACAGAAGACGAATGGCTGCTATGGTGAGGTTAAAGATTAAGTCACACTGGTAATGGAAAGCTAGTGAACATGATTCTCAATCAGGAAAGCCATTTTCATACCATTTAGAAAGTACTCATAATATCCAGAGACAAAAATGAAAAATACCTTTTGTTCTGTCTGCTGAGCCAACTCATTTTGGAGCTGTTGGAGTTGGTTTGCGGAACCATCACAAAGGTCATGGTAAGCCTTGTTCAGGGCACTCCACTGCTCAGAGATCTGTTCCTTCTCTTTTTCTGAGAGCCTGGAAAATGAAGCATTAAAGGTCTTTTAGAAAGCTGGGTGTGGTGGCGCACACCTTTAATCCCAGCACTCGGGAGGCAGAGGCCAGCCTGGTCTACATAGTGAGTTGGGAGTTCCAGGCCAGCTGGGACTACAGGGAGACCGTCTCAAAAAAGACCAAAAAAAAAAAAAAAAAAAAAAAAAAAAAAAAAAAAAAAAAAACCTTAGACCTCAACAATGTATTATCCAATTATATAGTCTCATTTTATATTTCTTTACTTCTGTAGATATTCTCATTTTTAGCAAATGATAGAGCTTGTTTACCTATTACACACCTAGCTTTCTTTACCTTTACATTTTTAAGCCTTTGGACATGTATAAGCTGTTGAAGACATTCCTCTTTATACCTCCCTCTCCTTTTCCTCCCCCTCCCTCTACCTTTTCCATTTTTTGTTTCGGGTTTTGTTTTAATGAGACTTCGTAGTTCAGGCTGGGTTTGTGACCCTCCTGGTTTAGCCCCCAATACTGGGATTATAGGAATGCAATGGCACTCAATTCAAATTTTTACTATTTAACCCTATTTGCTTTAGTTTTTTTCCAAGAAATAAGATATTACATATGTAATTAAAGCCACTGTATATTTGTCACCAAGTTCATTCACTGCCTGTCTCATCTCCCTAGAGTTCACCTCCTGATTCTCATGAATCTTCCAAATTATTATTTTTTCATATTATTGCTGAGAATGAAGTATGGTAATTCATGTTAGAATTATCAATAAATTCATGCCTTCCTTGCCTCTTAAGCCCTCATCCTCTCTACTATTTTTAGTTTATTCTGTTTGGAGGCCAAACCCCAGAGTCCAATTTCTTAATCAGATCCTTACTATTATCCTTTCCTAACCACACACTAATCTGATTAAAAGCTCCAGCACCAGATCAATCAAATCACTAGGATCTATGATTCCACATGCTACCACATATCTCTAATAAAGGAGGGAAAAAACCTGAGAACCATGTAGAGAGATCCTACAGGTTTCCAACTTATACTGGGCCTTAGTATAAGACTTTCTATCTGAAAATCTTCTTGGGAGTTCCCAGTCAGTCTCCTTGCTTTTTTGTATCAGTACCACCTTAAATGTCAATAAGTCCCTCTGCTTCCTTAAAAAAAAAAAAAATACAAATAGACCAATACTTCTCTCACTCTTGGACTGCACTTGTCATAGTTTTTGTCAACATGACACAAAGCTAGACATATCTTGGAAGAAGGAACCTCAATTGGGGATTTCCTACATCAGACTGGCCTGTGGGCATGTCTGTGGGCATTTTCTTGATTGCTGCATGTAGGTAAGTGCACCCGTGTTGTGCAATGCCCACAGAGTACAGACGAGGCTGTTGGATCCCCTGGAACTGTAGTTATGAACAGTTGTTAGCTGTCATGTGGGTGCTGGGATTCGAACCCAGGTCTTCTGCAAGAACAGTCAGTCTTCTTAACTGCTGAGCCATCTCTCCAGCACCCAAAAGCTGTTTTAACTCCTGATTAAGATTGTGTGGCGAGTGCCTTTAATACTAGCACTTGGGAGGCAGAGGTAGGCCGATCTTTGTGAGTTTGAAGCCAGCCTGGTCTACTTAGTTCCAGGCCAGCTGGGACTACAGGGAGACCCTGTCTCAAAAAAAGACAACAACAAAAAAGGTTGTATTTTCTACCTACCAATGAATTTCCTCCTTTCTCCAGTTATCTCCCCTCTCTTGTACTTAAAGGCAGTCTATAAACACAGGTGTTTCCCACATTCTAAGAAAATAAAACTTTCTTGCAAGTTGATTCCATTCTTCATTACTTGCTGTATTATCTTTCCTTTCCTATGGCCAAGCATGTAAGAGTAATTGAATTTCAGTATCTCATCTTCCTCATCTCTCATTTACTGTTCATCACATTGACTGCTCCCATCCATCAACTTTTTATCAGTCACCAAAAAGTTCCAACTTGCCTGATTTAATATAGTCATCAATCTTTTTTGACTTTTGAACCCTCATTCCTCTTTGGAGCTTTCTTGGGCTCTGAGGTATTGCTCATTAATACTTTCATATCATTTTCCAATTACTTTTCTGAAGCTTCCTTTATTGGCCAAGAAGAACTGAAAGCCCTTCTAGGTTAATTTACCCTTACAATTTTTACTATGCTGATGACTCAAATCTTTGCCCCTTTAGACTTCTGTCATTAATTCTAAATCATGTATGTAGCAGTCCATTGGTGGATCTATGTAAGGAATGAATAATGTAGTCAACACACCTTACTACATACTAAATAGTTCTACTCTGGTATCCTACAGGCTTTTCATATGTAACAATGTCTAAGCTACATTCTTCTCCAATTCACTCCTTTGCCTGTGTTACTCATCTTTAAGTCAATGGCCTATGCCAAAAGCCTAAAAGTTTTATCTGTTGGTTTTCACGTGTCACTGAACCCACAGATTTACCACCCTTAATCTTTTATATACACGTTGGGCATGGTGGTATACATCTTTAATCCCAGCACTTGGGAGGCAGAGTGGATCAGAGGCAGGCAGATCTCTCTGAGTTCAAGGCCAGCCTGGTCTCTATAGTGAGTTCTAGGACAACTGGGGCTGCAGGGAGACCAAAAACAAAAACAAAACAAAAACTCACACACACACACAAAAAACCCCAAAACAAACAAAAACATCTATATATTTAGTTATTTTGTCTATGCATGTATGTATACATGTGGGGGTCAGACCACAACTGTGGGAGTTAGTTTTCTACTTCTTCCCTATAGGTTCTGAGGGGCAAATTCATGTTGTTAGGTTCAGCAGCAAGCACATTTACCTGCTGCATCATCTTATAGCTGTGCTCTTGTGATCAGGACAGTATCTTAACTGGCCTCTCCTGTTTTCCCCCATGTCAATCCTTTCTCTATTTAACTCTTCTTGTAAACCTGAGGAAATTCTAACCATGTTTAAGATCCTTCCCCAAAGCTGACAAGGTAAAATGCAAACTTCGGTATATGAACTACAAGGTTCTTGATAATTGACTTTTGTTGCCAGGAATTTTTTGGCCTAAATCCTTACCATGACCCCAAGATTCAGTCAAATAGAAAAGCTCATACTCACTTATGACTGTGCTTGGCCAAAAAGATCTGTGAAGTTTTAATGGCCTCAGAAACTTGTTCTTTTTTGGTTGTCAGTTCTTCTGCCAGAACCTAAACAGTAGAAATAAGGAGAAAAGTTTCAAATCCAGGACCTAAAAGAGCCAAACATTATTTGAAATAAAAATTTTAAAACAGCTGGGTGTGGTGGCGCACGCCTTTAATCTCAGCACTCGGGAGGCAGAGGCAGGTGGATCTCTGTGAGTTCAAGGCCAGCCTGATCTACATAGTGAGTTCTAGGACAGCTGGGGCTACAGGGAGACCCTGTCTCAAAAAGACCAAACAAACAAACAAACAAACAAAAAACCCACCCAACTGAAACATGAGGAAAAAAATACAATATAAGTCAGATATCACAAATGGGCTTATATGTTTTAAAAGTGGGGGATGGAAAGATGGCTCAGTGGTTAAGAGTATGGCTACTCATGCTGAGGACCTGACTTCTGTTCCCAGCACGCACATGGCAGCTAAAAAACACATGTAACTCCAGTTCCCAGGGATTCGGTGCCCTCTTCTGGCATTTTACACACAGGGTATACTTATATTTATGCAGGCAAAACATTCATACACATAAAAAATTAAAAATAATCAAAAAGTAAGTGAGCAAGCAACATAACTTAAGTTTCTTTAAATTCTGGAAGTCAGCACTTACTGAGGTAATAACTGCCTCAGGAAGGCCCAGATGCGAATTGTTCTTCTAATACATTATTCCACCTGGGCAGAGATGAACTTTCTACTCACCTGCTGTTCCAAAATGGCCTTTTCAATGTCAGTGGATTCTTTGGTTTGAGATGAGGTAATTTTTCCTTGTGTATTTCTTGCCAGGGTAGACACCCATCCCAAAAGTTCTTTAACCTTCTCCACATGTTCTTGTTTCTCCTCTTCTACCACTTTCTATAACAGAAAATAGAAAATCAGTATCCTGGTCAATGTTTCATTAGGCTGGTATGACTTCAGATTTCTAAAGCCAGATGGGAAAGTTACTGATCTTCACATACAGCATTTTGCATTTTTTCATAATTCATAGACATACAAGTGAACAGAAAGACTACAGAGACTGTATTGAATAGATTCTGGCATAAAATAATTGCTAATATACATAGGCAAAAGATTAGGTACCATTAAATGTTTTCAATGGCACTTCTATGAATGGTTGAGTTTTTTTTTTTATCCTGCCATGTTAAGAAGCCTGTCCTAGCAGGCAGTAGTAAAGGCAGCAAGGAGTTCTCCTTCTGGCAGTTTCTAAAACAGGGTCCTTGCAAGAGTTTGTTAATTTCCTGTCATTGAATAAAGACAAACTTGGAAAAGCTGTTTTCAACATACTATACATGCTATGGATCAAACCTAGGGCCTTGTTCATGCTAAGCAGGTACTTAATCTGCACTAAGTCACACTACCCACATTTATAATGATAGATGTTTTTTTTTTATTTGGTCTTTTTGAGACAGGGTCTCCCTGTAGATCCAGCTGTCCTGGAACTCACTATATAGACCAGGCTGGCCTTGAATTCACAGAGATCCACCTGCCTCTGCCTCATTAGTGCTGGGAGTAAAGACATGTACTACCACACCCGGCTTACTTTGCAAAGATTTTTATAATTACAAAAAGACTATATGCCTATTACAACAAATAGAACCAAATCTGGAATGCACATAATATATACTCAACCTTGCATCTCCAGTTTGATATGCATACTTCTAAACTTGTTTCTATGCTATGTAGTACCTTTGTTAAATACGGAGCTTTTTACTGAAATCATTATATACAGTATAATATGTTAGTATATTATAAATATCTTTACATGTCAACCCACTTAAATCTATTTCTTATTTTTTGCAGTGTCATAGCATTCCATTGAACACACTATGGAGATTTCCAGCATTTTTCTTTAACAAAATATACTTTACTGAATATCTTTGTTCGCATCTCTTTCTCTGATAAGGATACTCAAAAATGACCTGATGGATATAATATAGTGAATCCCCATTATTTGTACATCATGTATTTGGGAAATTTTACCCACTAAAATGTATTTGTAACTCTAAAATCAACATAGCATTTATGATATTTTCATGGTCATTCACAAAGTATGCACAGAATGGTAATAAATTTCAGCTGCCCAATGTACATGTCAGTAGCTGAGGTTTCTGGTGTGATGGCTGTGCCATGCCTCGCCTATTATGATGGAGTCTAGCCCTCTGGAACCATAAGCCACAATAAACTCATTCTTCCTTAAGTTGCTTTTGGTCATGGTATTTTATTTTAGCTACAGAACAGTACATACAGAACTAGTACATACTGTAGGCCACTATAAGTACTTTTTAGTCTATTCAATGCCATGTTTTTAATATTTCTGTGCTTTCTCTTGGTGTTTCACCATTTAGAGTGGCTCTAAGCTGCTACTGAAGTACTGTCTAGTATTCCTAAGCTCAACGACTTTGAGAAACTTTTTGCTGACAAAAGTTATAGTGCTATCAGGAACCAACAAAATGTATTAAACATGCAGGCAATACATGCATACACATAAAATAAAAATAATAAATTCTTTAAACAAAAAAAAAAGAAAAAGAAAAAAAGAAAAATACATGACCTGAGGCTTGTTGGAACCAACTCTGTATTTCTCCTAGGAACACTGGTTTAGTATTGATTATAAAACTTTCTACAGCCGGGCATGGCGGCACACGCCTTTAGTCCCAGCACTTGGGAGGCAGAGACAGGCAGATCTCTGTGAGTTCAAGGCCGGCCTGGTCTACACAGTGAGTTCCAGGCTGGCTGGGGCTGCAGGGACCCTGTCTCAAAAAACAAAACAAAAACAAAAAAAAAACCCAACCAAACAAAAACAACAACAACAACAAACTTTCTACAACATGATCAACGTAAATAAGGAAAGTAACTGTGCATGGACGCCACATTTTAAAAGATAAGGTGTGGGAACTTTAATGTATAGTGCTGAGATCAACTTGAGAACTTGGCACATGCCAGCAACATGCTCTACCACTCAGCTACACCCTCCACTTGAGACAGAGCTTTTTTTTTTTTTTTGTCTTTTTGAGACAGGGTCTCCCTGTAGACCCAGCTGTCCTGGAACTCTCTATGTAGACAGGCCGGCCTCTAACTCACAGAGATCTGCCTGCCTCTGCCTCCCAAGTGCTGGGACTAAAGGCATGCGCCACCATGCCCAGCAGAGGCAGAGCATTTTTAATCATTCTTTCAAGGTGATTTAGGACCCAACTATACTCACCTCCTCCTCCTCCAACCTCCTGAGAGCATCACTGATGTATTTCACATGCTGAGTAGTTAACGTCACCAAAGCTGTGTAGCGAGTCCTCAGGTCCATGAACTGTAGTTCAAAAGAACAATTTAGAAAATTTATCTGCCAGGAAAGTAAAACTTCAATGGCTGAAAATAAGGGGGAATTTTCATGGAGTCATATACTCAACAGAAAGGTGAGCCCTATTATCAAAGTATAAGAATAACTCAAAAGAAATCTTTTCTTATGGAAAGACAATGGCACGTTCCCTTTCCCCACTCTTTCACCTCTTGTGTGATGGCATCTGAAGAGGAAAACATGCGACGGCGCTTGCCAGGGGATTTCTGCTGGGATTCCACAAAGGCCTTGTATGTCATCAGTTGCAATTCATAATCCTGAGAGAGGAAGAAATTTCTGACTTTACTTAGGGTTTTATAGCTAGCATACATCCTGCAACAGACTTGTAGCATTTGCTGCTGGACTATATTTTGGTGTTTACTTAGACTATAGGTTAGCAAATATTGAGCCACGTTACCTATCAGAAATCTAAATTTTGCCTCTACAAATGAATGAAATAACAATATGTAAATGAAGAGCTATGGCTATGTTAAAAATAAAATTCTACCTATAGACACTGAAAATTGAAGTTCTTACCACTTTGTCTATTTAATTTTGATTTGGGGTCTCATGTAGCCTAGGCTGGCTTCACCTCCCTATATAACAGAAGATGACCTTGAACTTCTGCTCCTCCTGCCTCCACCTCCCAAATGCTGAGATTTCAGGTATGCACCACCATGCCTAGTCTTATGTGGTACTAGAAACTGAAGCCAGAACTTCATGTTAGGTAAGCTGTCAACTGAACTATATATTCCCAGCCCAGCTCTACCTTTTTCTTTTTCCCTTTCTTTTTTTTTTTTTTTGGTTTTTGTTCATTTGTTTTTTGAGACAGGATCTCCCTGTAGCCCCAGCTGGCCCGGAACTCGCTATGTAGACCAGGCTGGCTTCTAACTCACAAAGATCTGCCTACCTCTGCTTCCCAAGTGCTGGGACTAAAGGCATGCACCACCACGCCCAGCAGTACTAGTTATTTTTAACATATCACAGTATATTATCTTTTTAATTTTTTTCAATCATTTCTCATAGGCTATACAAAAATGGATATGTAGCCTAGATTCAGCCTGTGAGTCATAGCTTGCTGAGTCTTGAGTTTGTAACCTGTGGATTATTGACCAATTCTTTCATCTCACTCTTAGAGGAATTGAAGCCCAAAGAGGGGAAGTGAATTTCCCTACTAATTCAGTACAGGTTAGATTACAATCTGTTTTCTCATTTCACTATACTATTCCGTGCTTCCTCTGCAACTCTCAGAGTTCTCCCTCCCTCCAAGCTCTCTTCATCTAAGTACTTATTTATCTTCACTACCTCTACTCTCACCTAACACTATCTCTAAAAAATAAATATGATCACATTATTCCACTGAAGATCAGAGCTCTCAAACATCAACATGCACACAGAGTATCTGAAGATGATATTAAAGTGCAGAATCTTATTCAGTAGGTCTGAGGACATCTCAAGCAATTTCTCAGATGATCTCAATGCTATTGGCTCAAAGATGATATCTGGAGGATGGGACCAGGGTCCCAGAAGAGCTCCACTTAATTTGTCCAGAAACAGGACCTGGAGTGATAATGCGTATTTCCTAAGATGAATATCAGTTCTATTCCATTTGGTATGTGATACAATTACCTTTACAATAGTAGAGTATTGCTGGGAAAATTTTTGACATTGGTCCAGTTTTGTCTGGTTTCTTTCAATTTCTGCAAATAGATCCTAGGAACCAAAATATCATAATATTATTATTGTACTCACCATCATTAAGCATTGAGCACTTACTATGTTCTAAGATGATAATTTTCAAACCTTAGTTGCATCACAATCACCAGGAAGACTAGCTAAGACACAGGCTGCAGGGTCCCAGCCCCACTTAGGATTTCTACACACACCCCTTTTTTTTGAGACAGGGTCTCCCTATAGCCCCAGCTGTCCTAAAACATGCTGTGTCCTAAAACATGCTAGCCTCACAGAAATATGCTTGCCTCTGCCTCCCAAGTGCTGGGACTAAAGGCATACATCGCTATACCTGGCTCACACTTGGATTTCTAACATATTTCAGTTGATACTGATGCTGCTAACCTGGGAACCACAGTTTAAGAATGGCTATTTTTTAATATTTTTATGTGCAGAACTACGTGTAATCCTAACATTTTTTTGAAGTAAATTTTTAAAAAAATTTTAATAACTACATCATTAGAAGAAGCATTTCATTACAGCTTTAACATATTCAGTATCACACTCCAGAGCAAGAGTACATCTCTTTCACAAGTGGCTGTAAGTTTCTAGGTTCACAGTTGAATTAATACAGTTATACAATATTGAACTCAGTATAAGCCCTGTAAGACAAATTTTATGGGGCAGGTCAAATGAATAATGAACTGCCTCTATTTTGAGGATAAGGAAGTAAACTACTGAAAGGTAATTTCCTCAAGGTTTTATAGTTAATAATACATAAACCAGGACTGGAATCAAGAGAATGTAAACTCCAGGCCTCACATACTTAAGTGCATAATGTGAAACAAAACAAAACAAAAAAATACCAACAAAATAATCTTTTAATGAAGTAATTTTCCTCCACTCATAGTTTTCTAGTCCAACCTAGCACAATAAAATATAATATCAAGAAACAAAATAAATGTTTTTCTGTTTAAAGAATTTAATATATAGCCGTGCTGGTTAGTTTTTATCAACTTAACATAAACTGGAGACACCAGGGAAGAAGGACCCTTAACTGAGGAACTTCCTCTATCAGACTGGCCTTGGCCCTGTGTATGAGGCATTTTCTTAATTGCTAATTGATGTGGGAAGTCTCAGCTCACTGAGGGCGGTGCCATCCCTAGTTAGGTGAGCCCGGGTTGTATAAGAAAGATAAGTGAGCAAGCCAGGGAGAACAAGAGTTCCTCCATAGTCTCTGCTTAAATTCCAGCCTCAGGCTCCTGCCTTGAATTCCTACCCTGACTTCCCTCAGGATTGTCACTTGGAAGAGTAAGATGCAATAAACCCTTTCTTTCCCAAGTTGTTTTTGGTCAGTGTTTTTTTTTGTCACAGCAACAGAAAAGCAAAGAAAGATAAGAGTCATAGAAATCCAGGATTGGAGGACCTAATAAGTCTCTCTGGTCTAAATGGAAAGCAGTATCATGAGACCATCTGTTTGAACTCTTCTGAGAGGGCTTATATGCCTTGCCATTTGGAGGAAGTTCTAATTGCTGCAACAATATACTCTTTTATGAGTAGCAGCTAACTTTTCTCCCTGCTGCAGCCATACTCACCGTCTGCTGGCTGAGCTGTGCTGATAATACCCTGCTATCCTCTGCCTGGCCTGGCTTCATCATTTCCTGCTGGGCAGTGGTTTCCTCAATCCACTTGATGAGAGTTCCATGGCAGGCTCGGTAATCTCCCAGAACTTCCTGAATACTTTCTAACTCAGACTGCCTGAAGAAAGAAAGAAAAACTGTTGTCAGTCACCTTAATGTAACTATAGCATAGTAAATGAACAAATCCTCCCTTGCTTAGGGGATACAATTTTACTTATGGGAAAAAAAATGAAGCAAGGCTGATTATGCTTGTACTCAGAGCCCTAAACCAAGCAGAAACTTCCTAATGAACTCTGAAAACATCCCATGGGGTCGAGGACCCTGGGATAATTCTGGTCAAATTTATTCAATTATTTATTTAGTATTTCTCTGTGTATGTAATGTAGGCAGATGTGCAACACAGCACACCTCTGGAGATCAGGGGATAACTTGCAGAATTGGCTTTCTCCTTCCACCATATGAGTCCCAGAGATCAAACTTGGGTCGTCAGCTTGGCAGCAAGTGTCCTTACCAGCTAAGCAATCTCCTTGGCTCTTTGACAAAGTTTTTAAAAGTAGATTATCAAAAAGGTATCATGGCTATGATTTATGAATCACTATAATTTCTTGTGGCAGATGTGAGGAAAAATAGAAGTTCATATTCACTTCCATCAGTCTCATTAGCTTTAGGATAGTAATTCAACTAGAGACAATCCAAACTTATATGAGTTGACAGACTTGTCCATGTATATTTTTCTACCCAGTTTAGCCTCAGAGAGGTTATTTTTCTCTATACTATTCATATCTGACATCAGAAACAAGACCTCAAATGATAAAAATAAAACCACGATACTGAGTTCAATATCATATAACTATTAATTCAAATGTGAACCTAAAAATTTACAGCCATTTTTGAAAGAGATGTATCCTTGCTCAGGAAATTGTTACTGAATATGTTAAAGCTGTAATGAAATGCTTCTTCTAATCATGGGTTATTAAATTAAAAAATAATTAAAAAAATAAGAAAAGGTCTCTTCATAGCCCCATCTGGCCCTGAACTGCTCTCTTCCTGCTTAAACTTGTTGAGTGCTGGGATTGCAGGTATGTGCCACGATATCCAGCTTCCATTTAGGTCAACTATGATCAGGAATAGACTTTTGCGTCTGGAATGAGGTCATAGTTAATCTCTCTCTTTCATCCCCCGCTGATGGCATGCATTGAAAACAATGTGAAGCCTCACTATGAAAATGGCTTATATTTAGATTCAAAGCTAATAAAAGAAGGACCAGAATCCAGGCTCTCTCCTGAAGAAAAGGTCATCATTTAACTTGTTTTTTCAAATATTTTATTTATTATTTTTATTTTATGTGTATGAGTGTTATGTCTGCATGTAAGTAAGGGCACCCGTGTTGTTCAAAGCCCATGGAGGACAGAAGAGGCTGTTGGATCCCCTGGAACTGGAGTTACAGACAGTTGTTAGCTGCCATGTGGGTGCTGGGATTTGAACCTGGCTCTTCTGCAAGAACAGTGTTCTTAACTGCTGAGCTATCTCTCCAGCCCCAATCATTTAACTTTTCAAATTTGCTTTATAAAAAATGTGTGAGGCTAGAGACAAAGTTCAGTGGCCTAGTATGTGGCAAGGCCATGGGCTTAATCCCAAGCATTAGATGGGGCACTGTTATTAACAGCTTAACTAGGAAAGGAATTTGTAACAGGAATATCAATGCTATACAAAAACCAAGCTTGGGGATGTGAGAGTGATCTGGCTATTACCCCTTTGATTACCAGGCTGATTCTATTGATCTGGGTGGATAAGCAGGTATCTGCTTCCTCCCTCACTGCTCCACATGAGTCCCTCCTGAAGCTGTGTGCTTAAGTAAAGAGGATGACCTTCTCTGATAGAGGAGGGCCAGTCTTTGCTCAAGTATATGAGTAGCCTGCACTTTCCTACTGCAACCTCTAAGATTTTAAGAGCAAGCTTGGGGATAGAGACCATCTGTTTGAACTCTTCTAAGAAGAGAGGGCTATGTCTTGCCATTTGGAGGAAGTTTTTTTTATTTTCTTCTGAAATGGATGAATTTTATTTAGCTTGTCAGTGACTGCACTCTCTGGGTCAGGATTTAGAGACTGCAGCACTTACTCAGAGGAAAATAAAGCTTTTAAAGGCAAAATCCATATCTGGATGAGGAGTTACTAAAAAACAAAGAGTTGCATGTTTGTTTCTATAGGTGTCCAAACAAGTAGCTACCTGGAAGTAGCTTAATTGCTGCAACAATATACTTTTTTTTTTTTTTTTTTGGTTTTTTTGAGACAGGGTCTCCCTGTAGTCCCAGCTGTCCTGGAACTCACTATGTAGACCAGGCTGGCCTTGAACTCACAGAGATCCATCTGCCTCTGCCTCCCAAGTGCTGGGATTAAAGGTGTGTGCCACCACACCCAGCTTATACTCTTTTATGAGTATCTTACTTTTTCCCCTGCTGCAGCCACACTCACTGTCTGCCTCAGGGTTGATAGATTCAATTTCCTAGTGCTTATCTAGTTCAGAATTCAGCTTGATTGATTATTTATTTGGTGTTTTTGAGACAAGGTCTGTAGCCCCAGCTGGCCTGGGACTCACTACTAGACCAGGCTGGTCTCACCAAGATCCACCTGTCTCTGCCTCCCTAGTGCTGGGATTAAAGGTGTGTGCCACCTTGCCCAGCAGAATTTGTCTTTTTTTAAAAATATTTTATTATTTTTATTTTATGTGTATGAGTGTATTTCCTGCATGTATGTGAGTGTACCCGCATTGTGCAATGCCTCGGAGGTCAGAAGCGGGTGTTGGACTCCCCTGGAACTGGAGTTAAGGAGGGTTTGTAACTGCCATGTGGGTGGTGAGAATCTAACCCAGGTCCTCTGCAAGAGCAGTCAGGGCTCTTAACCACTGAGCCATCTCTCCATCCCTATTTTAAAACTCCTGTATCAATTCCTACTTTAAAAAAAAATTTTTTTTATTTACTATTTTTATTTTATGTATGCATGTATTGCCTTCATGTAGGTAAGTACACCTGTGTCGTGCAATGCCCCTGGAGGTCAGAAGAGGTTGTTGGATCCCCTGGAACTGGAGTTACGGACAGTTGTTAGCTGCCATGTGGGTGCTGGGATTCGAACTCAGGTCTTCTGCAAGAACAACTAGTGTCCTTAACCACTGAGCCATTTCTCCAGCCCATCAATTCCTTTAATGCTGAAATAGTTGAAATCTGGTTTTACTTAAGCCTTAATCTCTGAACCCTAACAGGGGAAAAGGGAGGACTGCCACATACCGGGTCTCCAGCTGGGCAATGACTCGATGCCAACGTTCCTGTAGCTGAGAACCTTTCTCCTGATAACGTTCCAAATCCAAGTTTCGCTCTGGTGTCAAGCTACTCAGCTGTTCTGCCACTGCCTTGGCCTTAGTGATTTCCTCATCCAGGACTGAAAACACTGAATTCTTGTCTTTAACATCACTAAGCCAGTGCTATAGAAATAGGAGCACAGAAACAGGTTAAATATTTTCCTTCCTAAAACAAAGTCAGACTAAGGCAGGGAACAAGAATTCTGTTTGTAGTTGAGTCCATAGTACATTTGTGATTCAGAAACTAGGTGTTGAAATGGTCTGCTTTCCTGATACACACTGGGGAGCCACAGGCAGGGAAACCACACAGAGAAATATGCATAGAATTTTTTTGTGTTTGAAACCTGGCTTCACAAGCTATGAAATCAAGAGAAGTTACTTGGCTGACCTAAGCATTGGTTTTCTCATCTGTCAAGAGAGACAAAAATCCTTCCCCTAAACACATCTCAACAGTAGCTTCTGAGAATCCAATGGGGTCACAGTCAAGTACTTTACAAAGTTACAGCAATATAATCATTAGTTCTATTAAATTAGGACATAATTTGACTGGAAAAAAGGAACCAAAGCTTAAAAGCATATTCCTTTCATTTTTAGCTAGATGCTATTTCTTAGTTTCTTCTTTGACTACATTTTTTTGGGGGTGGGGAGGCTTTGAGACAGGGTCTCCCTGTAGCCCCAGCTAGTCTGGAACTTGCCATATAGATCACAGAGAGCCACCTGCTTCTGCCTCCCAAGTGTGGGGTTTAAAGGTATGAGCTACTATGCCTGGCTTATGTTTTTTTGAATAGGATCTCACTATATAGACCCAGCTGGCCTGAAACTCACAGAGATCCTCCTGCCTCTGCCTCCAGAATGCTGGGATTAAAGGGGTATGTCACCACACCCAGTTTGGCTTTTTTTTTTTTTTGGTATGGGTATCTTTTTGAGACAGGGTCTTCCTGTAGCCCCGTCTGGCCTAGAACTCACTATGTAGACCACGTTGGACTTGATCTTACTGAGGCCACCCACCTGTCTCTGGCTCTTGAGACATGTGCCACCATGTCCAGCTTGACTACATATTATTAAAGTATATTAAAAACAATACTCTGAGGGGCTGGAGAGATGGCTCAGCAGTTAAGAACACTGGTTGTTCTTGCAGAAGACCCAGGTTAGAATCCCAGCACCCACATGGCAGCTAACAGAAGATCTGATGCCCTCTTCTCACCTCCGGGCATTGCGTGACAGGGGTGCGCCTACCTACATGCAGGCAAAGGCAATACACACATAAAATAAAAATAATAAATAAAATATTTTTTAAAAAAACAATACTCTGAGTCGGGTATGGTGGCATACGCCTTTAGTCTCAGCACTCAGAAGGCAGAGGCAGGTGGATCTCTGTGAGTTCAAGGCCAGCCTGATGTACATAGTGAGTTCCAGGCCAGCTGAGGCTACTGGAAGACCCTGTTTCAAAGACTTAAAAAAATCTATTGGAATCCTGTCCCATGAAATAAAATATGATCCTTGAGCTAGCTCAGTCTACAGGGTGGATCCAGGCCAGCTAAGGCCACAGGGAGACCCTGTCTCAAAAAGACCAAAAAAACAAAACAAAACCCAAAACAACAAAAATACACAATATTCTACCTAGTACAAGCGTAAATATGAATCAGCGTCAGGTCATCCAAACTGATGCTCTGCTAACCCAAAACAATGAATATAGTAAATCAACTTAAGAAACTAAAGCAACCTACCTGTAATGTGGCCCGATGGGCCTCCAGAGCTGAGAGATCTGCTGTCACTGCTTCTTCTTGACTCAACTTGATTTCATAACCTTTGACCAAGAGTTCAGCATCCTGTATGCTACGTACTATAACATCAATTGTCTTTAATCTGTGGAAATAAAATCATCTTCCTTCATTAGCACTTGAATTTTAAAGTGTGGATTACCTCAGTTCACAAGATGCAACTGCCCAAACTAATTTTACCACTATTAAATGATGACAGGCTTCTGTAAAAATGAAGAAGTCCAATGCCTATACTGTCAGTTTAAGCTAGTTCAGAGTGAAATTCAAAGTGGTACTGGGACATACCACATATTGTGGCAAGAAGGCACCTCGAGTTCAGGAGTGGAGATGGGTAAGCAGGAGATCGTCAAATACTCCATTATCTGGCTTAGCTAAAGTTTTAATTCTTTAGTTTCTCTCCCTTTCTCTTACTATTTCTAAGTGTTATTTCCAGAGGTATCTAATCAAACAGAAATGAGGTAAGGAACAGACCTAACAATGCAAATCTATCCATCATCCCTATCACTGACATACTGTAATCCAAATAAGCCCATGTTGTGTTATTAAGGACCTACAGCTGAGACTTCTCAGTATAGAGCTGTGGTCCTTTGGATCAGTTATGAACACTCAAGGTAATTTCCTGTATTATCTCAAGAGAAAAACTGCTCTTTGAACCCAAGGCTTAGGCTTACTCACTTATTCAGGTAGATAGTAGACAGACCATAGACGTGGTCCATCTTTTCTACCAGCAGGTTCAGCTCTGAGCGAAGAGTTGGAGCACTGGAACCTGATGGAGACTGCTGAAGAAAGATGTTGCATTTCATGGAAACAGAATCCAGGTCAGACCTCAGGTGCTGCAAATCCTCCTGAGTATGCTGTCAGGAACAAGAGACACAAGAGGACAGAAATAGAAATGAGCAATGATTTTAGAAAGTAGTCCTTATGTCAATAGGAAAATATTGGAAACATCAATTCAGCAATATATCTGAAGCTTATGTTTTACCTTTTCCCAGGTAAAAGGGATTTATATAGGCTGCAGAGATGATGTCCTAAGTAGGACCATCAGTCTATTGCCACACACTTTCACCCTCTAACTCCTCCTCAAAGAAATTACTCTTCTTCCTCCAGCACCCACCTTCCTCCTTGGGCTTACCTCTTGCTCTGCAATCCTTAATGTGATATCCTGCCTCACATCTCTGTCAGATCTAGAGCTAGCTGGAGACTGAATTCGTTTGACCAGTCTCTGTTCACACTCCTCCAGGCGTAGTCGGATATTCTTCAGCTCTGAGATGTATACCCTGGCCACATTCTCTTCTTTGTCCTCTGTGAATATACAAGCATAGATCACTAAGCTGTCCAGCAGAGATCTATAAACCTGAGAATAACAGCACCTAGCTGAGACAAAAGGCACTATTTGCTCTAGTAGACCAGAAATCCCATCGATGAAAGCAAGGTCTTACTTAGGGAATCACTTGCCTAACCCTCAAGATCCTACATTAAGGTTCTAACTTTTTTTTTTTTGGTCTTTTTGAGACAGGGTTTCCCTGTAACCCTAGCTGTCCTGGAACTCACTATGTAGACCAGGCTGGCCTCGAACTCACAGAGATCCTCCTGCCTCTGCCTCCGAGTGCTGGGATTAAAGGCATGCGCCACCACGCCCGGTTAAGGTTCTAACATTTTACATCCAAAAAGAAATATGATAGGTTGATTATAATTAACAACCAACATATCAGCTTCCACAGTTTGATTTTGAGAAATCATCTCTATAAGATTTTCTTGGGGTTGGCGACATGGCTCAGCGGTTAAAAGCATTGACTGCTCTTGTAGAGAACCTGGATTCGATTCCCAGCATGCACATGGCAGCTAAAATCTGTCTGTAACCCCAGTTCCAGGGGAATCAGATGCCCTCTTCTGACCTCCGTGGGCATTGCACAACACAGGTACATTTACATACATATAGGCAATATACTCATATACATAAAATGAAAATAATAAATAATAAACATTTTTTTAAAAGATTTTTTTTCTGCCAGGCATGGTGGCATGCGCCTTTAGTTCCAGTATTCGGGAGTGGGGCAGGCGGATCTCTGTGAGTTCAAGGCCACCCTGGTCTATATAATGAGTTCTGGGACAAGAAAACCCTGTCTCAAAAAAAAAAGACACCCCCCCCCCGAAAAAAAAGATTTGGTCTATTTAAAGGTGGTATTACTTTCTAGTTTACAGGAAGGCCTAGCAGCACCCTGCAGGACTCTCATTCCACCACTTTTGTGTTCTCTTGCCTAGTGCACATACCATTCTCCATGGATTTCATCAGGTGCTGGAAGTGGGCTTTACAAGCTTCCACCTCCTCTTCCAAGCGCAATCGATCAGCCACTGAGAAGAGTGCAGAGTCACGACTATCCTGTAGAAAGTCTTCATAATGGGCCTGGAGATTCTTCATAACCTGGTGATACTCTCCTGGTGCTAAGGATCGAAGCTAGGGAGAGGCCAAAAAAAAAAAAAAAATTCAATAGAGTAGGAAAAAATACTCTCCCTCTTCTTTTTAAAAAATTGAATCACAGATACGAAAGTGTAGAAAACATAATTATAAACATGCTGATTGTCATCAACCAAATTATACAATCAGCAACCAGATCAAAACAATGTTACTAGCAACCCAGGTTATTCTTCAAGCCTCACTGGACATTGCTCCCCTAACCCCCACCTATGCTGGCCTTGAACTCATGATCTTCCTGCCTGGCTTCAGGAGTATAGGGATCACAGAGATGTGCCACCAGGAGCAGTCTGGACATAACTTAGTAATTGTTAGTTCACTAGTATTCCACATATTATACATGCTTACATAAGAGTGAGGCTTGTTCTGCACAGTGAGAAGCATATATTCTCTCTTATTTTCATTAATTTCTTTAATGATTCAAGCTGCTAATTCTAGTGACTAAGGCTCTCAGGTACCTAATCCTGAAATATTATTCCTGATTCCACTTTACCTCATTAGGCTGGGGACAAGTTTCAGCAATGAGAGTTCCTTCTGAGAAAGCTTGCCAACAGGCTATTAGCCTGAGGCAACAGTTTCACAATTACCTTTTCTAAGTTCCAGGTCTGTACAAGGTCAAGGTCTTTCCGCAAATAATTCCAGGAGATAAGGCTTTTGGTGTTAACATGTAGCTGGTGCCAAAGGGTCATCACTTTCTGATAAGACTGTTCCACCCTAGAAACAATAGAGATCTGGCTAGAGTTTTTGTAACAGAACTACACATTAGAGACATTCTAGAGAGTCCTGACTGCCAATTGAGATTGCATACTAAGCAGAAAAAGGTAGCAAGGTCTGACAACACAAGAATCTTTAGTATCAAATTGAGATCCTCAATTTGGATTTTCTATAGCATTATGTGTATTGTGTCAGAATGCATTTAGCAATAGCATAAATATTACCCAAATGTAATGGGGTTACAAGGTGTCAGAGAAAATAACAGGGGAAGCACTAATATAGAATGCATAACAGCACCTTTTAGAATGGCTAAAAAATTATGTGTTTAGGCCTGGTGTGGTGGCACACGCCTTTAGTCCCAGCACTCGGGAGGCAGAGGCAGGTAGATCTCTGTGAGTTCAAGGCCAGCCTGGTCTACACAGTGAGTTCTAGGACAGCTGGAGTTACAGGGAGACCCTGCCTCAAAAAGACAAAAAAAAAAAAAGAAAATTATGTGTTTAAAAAGTCCTTTACTGCCGGGTGTGGTAGCTCACGCCTTTAATCCCAGCACTTGGGAGGCAGAGGCAGGGGGATCTCTGTGAGCTAGAGGCCAGCCTGGTCTACATAGTGAGTTCCAGGCCAGCTGGGGCTACAGGGAAACCCTGTCTCAAAAAGACCAAAAAAAAAAGCCCTTTACTGTGTTCTATATAGTTATAAAAAATGCTGAAATATTTAAAACACGCATACTCAAACCACTAAGTTATCTTGAATGTCATCAAGGGGAGAAGAAAAATGTGAGGTGTAGTACTCTTGCAAAGGCCTAGAGTTTGCTGGGCACGGTGGCACATGCCTTTAGTCCCAGCACTCTGGAGACAGAGGCAGGAGAATCTCTGTGAGTTTAAGGCCAACCTGGTCTACATAGCTAGTTCCACATCAGCTAGGACTACAGGAAACCCTATCTCAAAAATAAAAAAAAAAAAGCCTAGAGTTCAGTCCCAAAATCCCCAAATCCACACCAGGTAGTTCACAATTGCTTGTAACTCCAACTCCAGGGGAATCTGATGTCTCTGACCTCTTTGGGCACTGCACTCAATTACACATATCCACACACAGACATACAACATACCCATACTTAAAAATAATAAAAACAAATCTTAATAGACATTATAATTCATCACCTTAGCTTCCCTTTCTCCAAAAATCCCACAGAAAGTTCAGTAAAGTTCTAATCACAAAAGAAGGATAAAAACACAAAGAAAACAAGAGACTTTTAGAGAAACAGTCCAGGAGGTCAACATTTGGCAACTAGGAGTTCTTGAAAGCAAAACAAAAACCAAACAACCAATGAAAACCCAGAAAATGAGCCAGGCGTGGTGGTGCACTCCTTTAATCCCAGCACTTGGGAGACAGAGACAGGTCTATCTCTGTGAATTCAAAGCCAGCCTGGTCTATACAGTGAGTTCCAGGCCAGCTGGGGGTTACAGGAGACCCTGTCTAAAAAGACCAAGAAGAAGCCAGGCATGGTGGTGCACGCCTTTAATCCCAGCATGTGGGAGGCAGAGGCAGGCAGATCTCTGTGAGTTCAAGGACAGCCTGGTTTACATAGTGAATTCTAGGACAGCTGGGGCTACAGGGAGACCCTGTCTAAAAAGACCAAAAAAAAAATTTTTTTTTGCTGGGCATGGTGGCACACACCTTTAATCCCAGGACTCAGGAGGCAGAGGCAGGTGGATCTTTGTGAGTTCAAGGCCAGCCTGGTCTACATAGTGAGTTCCAGGACAGCTGGGGCTACAAGGAGACCCTGTCTCAAAAAAGACCAAAAAAAAAAAGACCAAGAAGAAAAAAACAAAAACAGAAAATGTAATGGATGGAACTGGAAAACATCATGTTAGAAGAGAAATATGCCAATCCCACAAAAACTAGTATTAGCTATTTCCTCTTATATGCAGAAACTGGAAGAGGGGACAGGACATGAAAGTATAACCTGAAACTGAATTATTGGGGCTATGGAAAGAGAAGAGGATAAGAAAGCGTATTAGGGGGCTCAAGAGATAGCTCAGTGGTTAAGAGCACTGGCTGCTCTTGCAGAGGACCCAGGATCAGTTCTCAGCACCCACTTGGCAGCTAACAACGATCTGTAACTCCAGTTCCAGAGGATCTGACACCTTCTTCTGGCCCCTGCAGGCATTGCAGGCATGTGGTACACTCATATACATGCAGGGAAAACACTCATACACATAACAATTATTTTATATTTATTATTTTTATTTTATGTGTATGAGTGTATTGCCTGCATGTGTGTAAGTACACCTTTGTCATGCAATCCCTGAGGTAAGAAGAAGGGGTCTGATTCCTCTGGAACTGAAGTTATGGATGGTTGTTAGCTGCCAAGTGGTTGCTGGGAACCAAATCTGGGTCCTCTGCAAGAGTAGTCAATGCCAGGGGATCTGAAACCATCTTCTGAACTCTGCAGGCATTGCATGACATGGGCGCACTTACACATATACAAGAAATACAGTCATATACATAAAAGAAACAAAGAATGAGCCAGGTGTGGTGACACATACCTTTATTCCCAGAACTCAGGAGGCAGAGGCAGGTGAATCTCTGTGAATTCAAGGCCAACCTGGTATACACAACGAGTTCTAGGTAAACTATATAATGAGACCCTGTCTCAAAACAAACAAGGGGCTGGAGAAATGGCTCAGCAGTTTAGAGCAGTAGCATGCTCTTGCAGAGGACCTGGGTTGGGGTCCCAGCATCCACCTGGCAGATAACAACTGTCAGCAACTCCAGTTCCAGGGGATCCTACACCTCTTCAGGCTTCTGTGAGCACTTCGTGCATGGGTGCACTTACATACATGAAGGTAAAACACTCATACACATGAAAAAATAAACTAAAAAACCCCATAGCCCAAAAGATACAAAGAATGAAAATGGCAATGTCCACCTCAATAAGAAATCTGGGACCTAGGAAACAAAAGGAATGCTTCGCGTTTCAGACTGAAAATAACTTCCCAAAAGTTATTTTGGAACATCTGGTCAATAACTTTTATATTATGGGGGAATAAGGACATTTTAAAATATGAGCATTCTCAAAAATGTACCTCTCCTGTAATCTTCTTCAGTGAATTTATGGAAAGTATGGTCTACCAAAGCAGGCAGTAAGCCAATAAACAAGATTTGGAATCTAGGAACCACTGGTTACACTCTAATGAATGAATGACTGTGTGAAAATGAAGTGAATGCTGGAAGCCATCCTGAATCAGACCCATAGAGCAGCTTCCAGTGGAAAGAAGACAGATTGGGCCAAGAAGGGTGTAGTTAGGAGAAAACAAGGTGGAAGTCATCTGTGGCATTTGGTCATACTGAAGAGCCTTTTGCAAGAAAGAGACAATTTAGAGATATATCTGTAATACCTAAGTAGAATAATAAGTAAACCAAAAATCAAAACAATTACTCTAAGGAAACAGAAAGGTTAAGGAAACAATTCATGTTCACACGTTTGCTCACTATTCTTTTCACCCAGCAACCATTATTGAGAACTTACTATGAACCAGGAGGAGGAAAAATAATGACAAAGGGGATGGAGTGGTAAGCAGTGAGTGGACAGCAGTGTACAAAGATGATAAGATGAATCAAATGAAGTAAGGGAGTGACTCATGTCAATATCTAAAGGAAGCAAGAAGCACAAAGCACAAACGTCCCAGGGTAAGGATATCTTGCTGTGTTTGACAAAGAGGAAAAAGAACAAAATGACCACAGCTGGGTACAAGCAAGGAGGGTAGCAAAGAGGCAAGGCATGACAGCATCACAATGATGTCCTAGACAGTTTAGCTCTCATGTAACAATAAAACAATCACTTTTATTTTATTTTTTGGTCTTTTTGAGACAGGGTCTCCCTGTAGACCCAGCTGTCCTGGAACTCACTATGTAGACCAGGGTGGCCTTGAACTCACAGAGATTCACCTCTGCCTCCCGAGTGCTAGGATTAAAGGCGTGTGCCACCATACCTGGCATCAACAACAACAATGACTATTTTAAAAGTGACAGAAGTAGCTGGGTATGGTGGCACATGCCTTTAATCTCAGTACTTGAGAGGCAGAAGCAGGTGGATCTGTGAGGCCAGCCTGGTCTACATAGTGAGTTCCAGGCCAGCTAGGGCTACAGAGAGACCCTGTCTTCCAAAAAAAACAAAACAAAAAACAAAAAAACAGTGACACAAATGGCGTGGACACGAGCTTGGAGAAACTTAATATTAAGAACTTAATAGATGGAAGAAGGAGAATTCTTTTTTTAAAGTTGCTAATGTCTAAAGCTAAAAAAAAGTCTGGAAATATTCATATTAGAAATTTGGAGTTAAGCCCTTGAAAAATCTGCTAAGAGTTGTTGAGAACAGCAGCTTTGTAAAGTGTAAAGTAGAATGCTTTCTTTTTTTTTCTTTATCTCACTATGTTATGCAGACTGGCTCCAATTCCTGGGCTCAAGTGATCCTCCCTCCTCATCATCCTCCCAAGCAGCAGGGACTCCTGGTAGAGGTATTGCACTCAACTAGTCTTTATTATACAGTACAAAAATCACTCTGAGGCCAGGCATGGTGGCACATGCCTTTAATTCCAACACTCAGGAGGCAAGTGAATCTCTGTGAGATCAGTTGAGTAGTTGAGTAGCAGCTGAGCAGTTACCTGCTGGCCATTTCAATGGCATCCTTATTGGGTGGGGGAATGAGGAAGCAGACTGATGGCACCATTGCTTCATTCCCTGTGGGGCTGATCACCTTCCATTTGGTCCGCTGAGAATTATCCTCTAGAACACACTCATCATTTTTGCAAATAGTGATCTGAAGAAAACAAAATTACAAGTTATTGTTAATGGAGAAACCAACAACCTATCATTACCTCCTGCCTGATTCCAAGGCTGTGAAATGACTAAGGGAAATGTCTGCTTAAGAAAAGATCTGCAGGGCTAGCAAGATGGCACAGTGGGCATAAGTGCTTACTGCCAACCCTGATGACCTGAGTTTAATCCCTGGGACCTACAGAGTAGAAAGAGAGAACCAACTTCTGAAGGTTGTTTTTCAACTTACACACATACACATACTGCCATATGCATATGGTAGCACTCATGTGTTCCCCTATACCCCCTCTCATATGCAAGCACACCCACCTTTGAGCAAGCAAACACACACACACACACACACACACACACACACACACACACACACACACACAAATGTAAAAAAAAAAAGAAAGAAAAAGATCTGCAGGGTAGGAGAAATAGCTTGTGGATAAAGCATCTGATGCACAGGGTGAGGACCAGAGTTCAGCAAGCTCCAGTTTAGTGAGATTCCCTGCCTCAGTAAATAATGGAGAGTGATGAAGGAAGATGCCCAATGTTGACCTCTGACCTCCATATGCACCCACATGTACACGGCACCCCCTACACCTGTGCCCAACACATGAGAACACATATACATACATGCATGACTATCCATGCAAAACAAAAAAGAAAAGATCTGTCATCAAGGCAGTATTTTGTCCACTGTTCTCTTGCAGTATACTCAATAAACTTTTCTTTCTTTTTTCTCCAGTTTTACATTCTGAGAGAGAGAGAGAGAGAGAGAGAGAGAGAGAGAGAGAGAGAGAGGATTTACTTGCTACCACTTAGTGAGGGCTCCTGATCTTATAAATCCATGACATACCAAATAATTCAAGGAAAGAAGTATTTATTAAGTGTCTGTTGCATGTCAAGTAACTAACATGTGGCAGTTATAAGGAGCCTGTAAGACCCTCAAGAGCAATCTCTGTACCAAAAATTAGACTAAGAATTTGGGGCTGGAGAGATGACTCAGTGGTTAAGTGTACTGACTACTCTTGCAGAGGACCTGGGTTCAAATCCCAGCACCCACATGGTAGCTAACAACTGTTTGTAACTCCAGGTCCAGGGAATCTGACACCCTCTCTGACCTCCACAGGCACTTACACACATGCAGGCAATACATTCATGCACATAAAATAAAAATAAATGAATAAATAAAATATTAAAAAATAAATACACAGTTCCAGGCCAGCTGGAACTACAAGGAGACCCTGTCTCAAAAATAACCCCCCCCCCAAAAAATGAATTAATAGGTGTGAATCAGTTTTGCCTTTGTGATACTTCCTTCCCCTCCTTTCCCATTACTCCTACTAGACTCCTGAAAATATTCAATCATTTTGGAATTACCAATTCTTTCTTCTGAGAGACAAATAACAAACATTAACTGTTTTAGAATATTGAGATACCTGTTATTAATTCATTCTTTTTGTTTTTTTACACTATGTAGCATAGGCTAGCCTTGAACTTACAGTGATTCTCTGCCTCAGCCTCCCTTGTGGTGTGATTACAGGTGTATACCACCATTCCTGCCTTCATTCATACTTCTATACTATATATTTTTACTGAATGCCTGATATGTGCCTGGACATGTGTCATATTAGCTATACCACAGAAGATAAAAATGGCACAGTGGTAAACAGACAAACATGGTACACATTCCTTATATTCATGGTGGGGAAGCCTGGTGTAACAGTACTGTGTGAAGAATGCAGTTTACCAGGGAATGGTACAAAACACATAACCCAGTCTTGGCTAGAGGTAAGGATACAGTATTTAAAACCTCAAAGCCACATTGAGGTTCTCCCAAGAGCAATGAGAAATTACTGTAGGACCGAAGCAGGCATGTGGCTTTCTTAAAAAGATCTTGCTAGAGGTAGGATAAAGAAGGAATGAAATGAGGAGGCTGATATAACAATCTAAATAAAAGAAACTTATGCTCCAACTTAGACATAGTAACAGCAGAGACAAGTACCTATAGGGGCACTTAGAAGTTAGTACTGACTTGGTGAGCCTATCAGCTGTGGGAATAATTGGGGTAGGGGAGATGAATCTATCTCTACAATGTCACAAAGTTCCACCCCACCAACACTTAGGCAACTGAGTAGACAATGATACTGACCACTGAAGCAAGAAGCAGATTGAGAATTTAGACCTGCAGGCTTTTTTTTTAAATAACAGATAAGATTTTTGCAAGCTTACATGATGATTTTAAAACCTCTTTAAATATGATCTGTTCTTCTCTTTTTCTTCCTTCCTTCTTTTCTCCCTCCCTCCCTTTTTAAAAAAATATTTTATTTGTTATTTTTATTTTATGTGTATGAGTGTATTGCTTGCATGTATGTGAGTGCACCCAAGTCGTGCAATGCCGCAGAGGTCAGAAGAGGGCTTTGGATTCCCCTGGAACTGGAGTTAAGGACGGTTTGTAGCCACCATGTGGGTGCTAGGAATCAAACCAGGGTCCTCTACAAGAGCAGTCAGTGCTCTTAATCACTGAGCCATCTCTCCAGCCCCCCTCCCTCCCTTTTAATACAGTGTCTCATATAGCCCAGGCTGATCTGATCCTCCTGCCTCCACAATTATAGGGATTACAGGCATGATCTTTTCCTATTACCATAACACTAAACATAACACAACACAACAGAACACAACACAACAGAACACAACTTTTCTTCTTATCTCCTCTCTGGAGCCCATATACCCAGTCCACTTCTCACCTCAATCTGCCGGTAGTCACAGATGGCCTTCAGAGATATAGTACTCTTTAGAGCATGGTCTGGACTGCGTGGCTTTAGCTGAACAATAGTTTTTGATCTCCCAACAAGACTGGCAACCGAACTTTTAGACTGTATAAGCTGTTCCTTCTCATCCTACAAAACGAGAACAAAAATAAAAAAACATTAAATGTTCGTGTTCTGAGTCACTAAGTCACTAATAAATTTCAGTGCTCCACTCCCTAAGAGAATGTCATTTCTCAGTTAAGTAGGGATCCTTGATGGAGCTCTCTTAGATACAGACAAGAATAAAGAAAAAAAGGAAAGAATACTTGTCTTCTATCAGGTGTTTTTGTACTCTAAATTTACAGCTTTTCCCCTGCACTATATTTAATGACCAATAAACCCACATGCAAAAACAAACAAACAAAAAACCCCACAAATGTCTAGCTGCCAAATACAGCTATATAACTAATGAAGAATTTCTTCAAATATAGTTCAAAGAACATGGAAGTTAAAAATAATAATAACTGTAGTGTTATTATTATTCATTTTCAAATGGGGAAAAAACAGTTCTTCCCTTTCTGCTTAGGAGAGGCTAGTTACAATATTTCAATTAAAAATTATATATATTTGTATATCTCCCCCAAGTTCTACTCCAAATATTTCACTTTCTTTAATGGCATTAAAAAGCTTTCTGGAGAAAGATCTTTAACCAACAACTCACAAACAAATGCTGTTGGTAAAGGTATCATGATAAATGATTTAGGATTTACCTTGCCATGATGAATTGATTTAAATGAAGTATCATGCAAAGCTGGAATTCTCAAATCTCTGCAAACCCAATTACTTTAAAAGCTAATGAACTTGTTAACAAAATTGGTAGTAGTCTACTACCACCTCCATTAGAGAGCAATGGTAAGTTTTATTTATAGGCCAGGATGCTTCAAACCCATTGTGAGGCATAAAAGTCCTCAGACGAGGGCTTTCTGAAGGTGGACAGCGATGTGATGAGAATAAAGAGTTAATAATGTTAAGAAATGCTACTAAAGAATTAAGAATATGCAAGTAAAGAAAAATAAATTCTTAAACAAACTACCTGTGCCTGTCCCCGGGAGCATGATTGGAAGAAATACAACTTTAACTTATTAGTTAAGAAAGAGGAATGGAAAACATCAGGGAGACAGCCACACTTCTATACTTGAGAGCTGGTCTACCCATTTCAGTTTCCTTGCAACAAAGATGTCAATTTCTGTCTAACCCACAATCCAAACATCTCAAGTTCCAGAGACCAAGTGCTCAGTGTGGTAAGAATTCTGAAAAGAACCAGAAGCCAGGACAGATGCTCCCGAACCTGATGGACAAGCTGAGGAGCAGACCCAGGTGACTCCATGCCCCGATGACGTCGCCAACCTGATGCCCCTGACCTGGAGAAGAGGGAAAAGAGCAGCGACCCTCGAAAAGATTTGGCAATTGCAGAGGAGTTACCCTATTGACAGGAAGATACTCAGTAGGAGGGAGGAGATCACAGCCAGATTATATTCCTCCTTCATACTTGCAGTACCTCCAAGAGAGACTTTTCAAAGACAACTGAAAAGTTAGGTTTTTATCCTTTGCTCCAGATTAACACTCCATTTGTCCAAGTGAAACACTGAAAGTAACCTGACTCATAGGTTCACTATTATCTGAAAGCATTTAGAAAAAAAAAAAAAATTAGGCTGAGGATATCAGTGGTATGGTACTTGCATGGCATGCCCAAGACCCTGAGTTTGACCGTCAATACTAAAAAAAAAAAAAAAAAAAAAAAAAGTCTAAATCTCACCCACAAAACCAAACCAAACAGAAACAAAGAAACAAAAAACATTGTGGGTTTTCTTGGTTCTCTTATTTAGAACCTTCTACTGAACCATAGAGTCCTCTCACTTCTCACATAGGACAAGCTATTGCGTACACATTGAAATGTAGCTTGAGCCTTGGTTGCCAATTCTGTAGAATATATCAGTAAATGCAAGTAGTTCTGCTACCGATTTTACAGCTAGCACTCCTGAAGGAGTAATTCATTGGAGAAAATGGGTATGAAATTGATTTTAATTAAATATTGGATACAAATTTTTTAAGTCAGTATTAACAAACTATACTCATACTGTATTACATCTAAATAAGAGTTTAATGTTGCCCTCAATTAAAATCAATTTCCTAATACCTCATCAATACCAAAAGAAAGTAGCTAAGGAGGAAAGATATGGCTCAGGTCTGTCTCTGTCTCTCTTTCACAAAAGAGAGTAAAAACAGATTTTTTTATCACCTAATGCCCTCAGTCCTTGACTCTAACTATCCCATTAGTAGAATGGTGCAAAGAAAGTATGAGGTACTCAGCAGCTCCCCAAAGAAATCTCATTAATAACTGCTTAAGGAAAGAAAACAGAAGAGGCAGAATAAAATTGAATAGATAATTGGAATGTGAGCCACATTTTATTGTAAGAATGGCCTACTTCCCAGAGCTTTCAAGGATATAAACAGCAGCAGCTGACACCGTTTACTCTGTTTCTTAGAAGCAAAAGTCCCCACCCAGGCAACACCCACCATGGAGTCCTGGAGCAGATCCTCAAGGCGGGACAAACTGGTGGTGTGGTCACAGGTATATTTTCGTTTGATGGAGTCTTGGAGGTTTCTCAAGAATAACTCCAGGTCTCGGGCATCACTGAAGAACTGTGAGAACAAAAAGAAAGAGCAGCTGGTGCTCAATAGCACAGAATAACAAAAAGTTAACTAAGAAGTAATCTTACTGTACCAAGATAAGCAAAGTCAATTATCCTCTCCAGGAACAGTGACAGCTCATTACAAAAGGGCACAGAAATACATGCCAGAGGGCTTAAAGAGCCATGTCAATAAAACGTTAGTGATAACTGCCACTAAAACCCACTAGGTCCTATAAAAAAAGTTAGCTTGTTTTGC